ACGTACTTTTCATTGTTATCCATTTTCTATTACCAAACATCACAATGATCCCATCTTCGTGTCACTTGTTTCATAGCATCCACTTACTTCCAATGTAACTTCGACATCACTTGGTATCTGCAAGGTATCCAATATACGTTCGATGGTCTTGGGCTTTAGAGAGATGCAATGTCAATGAACCAGCTGATGCGTGACCGAGATGAATAAAAGACGTACGCTAGCAATACCTATGTTGTCATTAGCAATCTCATCCATGCATGTACACACACTCCTTGATATTGCCATACTGGGTGTTCCGCCACCGAAGTAGACTGATGCCACGCACTTATCCCATAATTCAAATCGAGGCTCATCCAAGTAAAAGCGAAGCTCACGCACCAATGCATCTATCAGGCGTTCGACGGGTGGTTGTGCAGGGTTCACATACTTGTTAAAGTTGCAATAGGTACACTGTTGCTAAGGTACTGTGGTGGAAGAAGAAGAGATCAGCGATCGCGTGTCTCATGGTGTCCTAAACAGTGAATTACCTTTCGCAATAAAGCCAATGAATATAGACAGAATACTCATCGTGAGCTTTGGTGGCGATCGAGCGTGCTGGAGACCGAGTCAATGGTCGACGACAAAGTACGAAGGGTCGAAAGGTGAGTGTAACCATTGTCAATTTTGGAAAAGGAAGCAAGAAGGGAAATACCTCCTCTCTCTCTTTCTCAAAACCTTTTTCTTGTCAGCATGGTCGCTTCTACATCGCTCGACGTCGCCCCTGACGATCCAACTGCCTACAAGACACAAGCTTATTGGGAAGATCGTTATAAAAAGTGAGTCAATGAATAGATTCCATGGTGTGTCACTGATCGCTTACCTGCCTTTTTTTTCTTAAGCGAGGATGCGAAAACGACATTTGACTGGTTCAAGACATACGCGATCGCAAGCCGTTGTTGGACGAACAAATAAAGAACAAGGATGACTCTATCTTGATGCTTGGTTGTGGCAATTCGAGTAAGAGAGAGATGATGATAGATACAACTTACAGCCTCTATATCTAACCACCCTCCTTCTTCTCTTTTAGGGTGGCTACAAGAATATCACCAGCATTGGTTACTCGGCCACCGTCATCGAAAACATGAAAAAGAGATGTGCTGATATGCCAGAAATGAAATGTAAGCAAGGAGAGAATGGGGATTATGCATTAACATGGTACTTATGCGTGTGATGCATGTAAGGCTCGAAATGGATATTCGTGATCTCAAGTTTCCCGATCAGTCCTTTGATGTGGTGATTGATAAAGGTAGGTGAGTGGATCTATATTGAGTTTACTGGTTGATTGGATATACTAATCCTCTACTAGGTACCATGGATGCTCTCATGTGCGATCGGGGTGACGTATGGGATCCATCACCAGAGTTGATTGCCGATGTGAAGGGCGAGGTAGATGAGGTGGAACGCGTGACCAAAGTTGGAGGTGTCTTTCTCTACATCACATTTGGACAACCCCATTTCAGGAAACGACATTTAGCTAGAGATTGCTGGGATATCGAGATTAAGACATTAGGCGAAGCATTCCATTACTTTTTTTATATCATGCGCAAGAAATCAGCATAATTGGATCAATACAAGTTTATGAATTTTCATGTCATTGGATTGGAAGGTTTTGGCAATGATGGGTCAAGAGATGATTAGTGAGTATTCTTAAAAGTGTTGGATGGCGTATTGCTATGTCTGGATGGTGCTTCTAGTAAACGCAAAATAGCAATGGCCATTTTCTCTTCAAGGCGAGGCGTGATCCATCAGTGCGCACGGGCCATTTAATGTTGAGTATATCATGTTCCATTTCAGCAATAAAGTCCGATCTCGACGGCAGCCCGATTTCTTCGTCGTATGTCGAAGTGCTACCATTTTCTTGTAGTCGTCCTTACTTTCATTTGGATCTTTGGTTTGCTCCTTTAAGACTATGGAACAATCCTAGAGCTGTGCCATCTGAGAGGAGTTGTTGCCGGCTGAAAATCCTTACATAAGGTGAAAGGAAGAAGGTCAACAGCAATCTTCTCTAGATTTGGATGATCCCTATACAAACCAATATTAATCCTTTTGCATTTTTAAGCACTTGCTCATATTTGGTTGCCAACTTGCATCAGGAGCTGCTTTAGGTCATCCAAATCCGCGCTCAAGCCCCCAAAATCGATTACGACCAAGCAGACTTGTTCGTTGTTGTGAAGGAAAGATTGTAGGTCTACAAGACATGTACTTATGTCACCCACAAAGGAGCCTCAATTTTCCCATCAGTCTAGGCGTCCTTTTAATATATAAATGATAGCTATACCTACCCCAAAGGGTTCATCAAGGAACACAGCCAAATGCCATTAGGCACCAATAATGAGCACTTCAAGTGGCAAAGCAATGATGTGAGCTACATAGATGAATGCATCATGAGTACCCTCATCTTGGGGATCACATAATAAATAGTATCCTTGAGACTTACCAAAGGCCGTTGACGATGATATGAATACAAGTAGGAAGGAAGGGCTTATGACAGTGTTGATGACAACAGCCCTCTTTATATGTGAGTGGGCGTGAGAACTGTTGTCATGATTGATCAAACTGATAAAGTGGTCAAGCATCTTAGAGTACCAAGTCGAAGTAATGGAAAACCAGCAGCTGATAAATCCATCTGCTCCTTGAAGGGTGGTTTTTTTTGTACGAGACATAGGTATGTCCAGCTAAAATGTGCTCAATACATTGCAGAGCGTTATCAAAAGGCATTCAAATGCATACGCGTGTGACACACTAAGCAATCATAGTCAACATTTCAGATTTGTTTCCTTTTCCTTGATGACTTTTTAATAAAGAAGCATGCATGTATATAAGGGTGGATATGCTAATAAGAATATACTACGTTGTTGTTGTCTATCATGCTGGACGTTGATCTTTCTTGGTATAGAGATAGGTCCCCCCCGCCGCCGATCATGGCTTGTTGTCTTCTTCCAAAAGTGACAGCAGGTTCGGCAACAAAGTATCCATCACCGCGAGCCCTCTTTCTGTGGGTCGTATTCCACCACGCATCCATTCATGCTGTAAATGCTCAGGCACATAGCGTTCCAAATCCTCGTCATTGTCCACCAATAATAGACCAGCATCAACATACAGAGATAACATGTCTTGATTCACCACTTGTTCTAGCGTGTTGCCTGTCATTTCTTCGAACCGAGACCGCGGGATGCCCATACGAGTGCGAAGTCCAAATACAAAAAGTTCCTAATAGAAGCGTCGGTAATCCATTGCATAAAGTAGCTTGGTCCATGCGCATTTGGCATTTTCAAACCAACCCCCACCCATACTCACCTCCTGTACATCTCTTGACGATATAGGTGTCCATTTACGAATACTACATAAAGATAGGATTGTATGAGTGGCCTCCGAAAAAGGGAACGTACCCCACCTACTTCCTCCTTGCCATTCTATACGTACCCTTCTCCTTCACTTTCACAGAGTGCCATGTACTTGTCGGGATGAAATTCCTAGTATGAAGGTAGTAGCAAGCATATCATCAGTGATGTGTGTATGAGTGAGAGAGAGACGAGTGATGTGTGTGATGAGAGTACTTACACCAAAAGTACGTATACGTTGATGATTCTGGATATCGGTCAAGCGTCCGTGCGCACCTGGTCCTATGCCTATTATGCCACACGTGAGCTCCCAATAAAGTTCAAACTTTAAATGCCCAAATCTTACCTAGATAATCCATACCCTGCCAATACGAAAAGTTGTGCTTGCTCATGGCTTGCCTTGCCCTTGCATAACTTGAGACCTCGTAATGTGAAAATCCATGGACTGCAGCTTCTTCCACAGTCATGTCGTACATGTCGGCTGCTTCCTCTGAGCTTGCTACGGGAGGCAATTGTCTTTTTGTTGAAGCTTTCCACAACCTGTCGTAATCACCATGATCATCAGCACATTTGGATCCTGTTGATGAGCAAAAACGATACTCACGGTGTGCCTCGTTCCAGGGAAAGCTGGTATATGGATAAATGATCACCTGCGAGATCCAATGCTTGCTATGATGTATGCAACTTTTAGTATCATCGATCCTTTGAACAGTGCAACAACAACACCTATTATACCTTGAGTTCCAGTTCCCAATCACGTATCGATTGTCCAGGTCTTGCAAAGATCATGTCAAATGTCACCTTGTCGAACATACGCTTTGCTTTGTTGATAATGTTGAAAGCACTCGCTGCTGAGTGATCACGACCTTAGGAAGAGTGGGCCAAGATGAGTGAGTGAGCATGATGTATACGATAGAAACCTTACCAAGTATCTTGAGATCACGATCATTAAAGGATTGAATACCAAGGGAAAGCCGATTGATGCCGACATGGCGAAAAGATTGTAATCGCTCAGACTCAGCTGACTGTAATGCAAGTTAATGCTTGGGATGGATGGGACCACGTGGCTACTATCTCGCTCTCTTACCGTTGGATTCGCCTAGCACAAAAATACAATCCATGGTCATGATCCCATCATTTTGGTGTCACTTGTTTCATAGCATCGACTTACTTCCAATGTAACTTCGACATCACTTGGTATCTGCAAGGTATCCAATATACGTTCGATGGTCTTGGGCTTTAGAGAGAGGGTGCAATGTCAATGAATCAGCCAAATGAGATGAATAAAAGACGTACACTAGCAAGGCCTATGTTGTTATCATTAGCAATGCCATCCATGCATGTACACACCCACACTCCTTGATATTGCCATACTGGGTGTTCCGCCACCGAAGTAGACTGATGCCACGCGCTTATCCCGTAATCCAAATCGAGGCTCATCCAAGTAAAAGCGAAGCTCACGCACCAATGCATCTGTCAGGCGTTCGACGGGTGGTTGTGAAGGGTTCACATACTTGTTAAAGTTGCAATAGGTACACTTGCTAAGGTATGAAGCAATCAGCGATCGCGTGTCTCATGGTGTCCTAAACAGTGAATTACCTTTCGCAATAAGGCCAATGAATATAGACAGAATACTGATCGTGAGCTTTGGTGGTGATCGAGCGTCGTGTTGGAGACCGAGCCAAGGATCGTCGACAAAGTACGAGGGGTCGAAAGGTGAGTGTAACCATTGTCAATTTTGGAAAAGAAAGCAAGAAGGGAAATACCTCTCTCTCTTTCTCAAAACCTTTTTCTTGTCAGCATGGTCGCTTCTACATCACTCGACGTTGTCCCTGACGATCCAACTGCCTACAAGACACAAGCTTATTGGGAAGATCGTTACAAAAAGTGAGTTAATGGGTAGATTCCATGGTGTGCCATCGATCGCTTACCTGCTTCTTTTTTAAGCGAGGATGCGGAAACGACATTTGACTGGTTCAAGACATACAGCGATCTCAAGCCGTTGCTGGACGAACAAATAAAGAACAAGGATGCCTCTATCTTGATGCTTGGTTGTGGCAATTCGAGTAAGAGAGAGATGATGATAGATACAACTCACAACCTCTATATCTAACTACCCTCCTTCTTCTCTTAGCATTGGGCGAAGATATGTACAAGGACGGCTACAAGAATATCACCAACATTGATTACTCGGCCACAGTCATTGAAAACATGAAAAAGAGATGTGCTGACATGCCAGAAATGAAATGTAAGCAAGGAGAGAATGGGGATTATGCATTAACATGGTACTTACTCATGCGTGTGATGCATGTAGGGCTCGAAATGGATATTCGTGATCTCAAGTTTCCCGATCAGTCCTTTGACGTGGTGATTGATAAAGGTAAGAGAGTGGATGATCGAGTTTACTTGTTGATTGGATATACTCATCCTCTACTAGGCACCATGGATGCTCTCATGTGCGATCGGGGTGACGTATGGGATCCATCACCAGAGTTGATTGCCGATGTGAAGGGCGAGGTGGATGAGGTGGAACGTGTGACCAAAGTTGGAGGTGTCTTTCTCTACATCACATTTGGACAGCCCCATTTCAGGAAACGACACTTGGCTAGAGATTGCTGGGATATCGAGATTAAGACATTAGGCGAAGCATTCCATTACTTTTTTTATATCATGCGCAAGAAATCAGCATAATTGGATCAATACAAGTTTATGAATTTTCATGTCATTGGATTGGAAGGTTTTGGCAATGATGGGTCAAGAGGTGATGAGTGTTCTAAAAAAGTGTTGGATGGCGTATTGCTACATGTCTGGATGATGCTTCTAGTAAACGCAAAATAGCATTGTCCATTTTCCCTTCAAGGTGAGGCATGATCCATTAGTGCGCACGGGCCATTTAATGTTGGGTGTATCATCATTGCATTGAGGTAACGCTCTATTGTATTTACACTTTATTCTAAGTTAAGGTTTCTTTTAAAGTTTACAAGAGTTACAAGACGATGACAGCTCTTAATGGCTGATCTTGAGAGAAAAGTCAACGTGAGGAACACCTTGAGTAACTGTGCTCATGCTGAGAACGTCGATATCTACAATGAGGTCATTCATTTGTTAGTACCATCACGTGATTTATCAATGACAGCGATCTATTTACCATCACAGAAATAGTTGGCACATGTTTCATAAGTGATACCACCACTGCTTTCGATCAAAAAGTGACGCACACCCTTGGCAGCCCAGCGCTCCTTGATGCTCTTTGCTGCGATTTTCAATCCTTCACCCGTAAAGTTATCAAGCATAACAATGTCTGCACCAGCAGCGATAGCTTCATCCGCTTCCTCCTCGGATTGACACTCGACCTCGATCTTAAGAGCAAAACCACCTGCTCTACGAGCAGCTTGAACAGCCTTGGTGATCGATCCTATTTAGCCAACCAACCCATGTGATGATGAGTCATCTCATGCCATGTGTCCATGCGTGTTTATCTTTTTTACCTGCACTCCAAATATGATTATCCTTGAGCATGATCATGGAAGACAAATCCATACGATGAGTGTCTAGACCACCGACAAGCACACCATACTTCTCCACAAGTCGGAAACCTAAATTTGGTGGTGGTGGTGGATCGGTGATTAATCCGGATCGCAGGTAATTGACCCCACACAACAAATCAATCACATACCAGGTGTTGTTTTACGAGTAGCAGCAATGATACCCTTGAAACCTTTTTCCTTTTGAAGTTCATATACTTTGCGTGATCTATCAAAATGGGATCAGTGATCATTCTCCAGCCGCTTTATCATTCTTACCTTAAAGCAATACCACTGCAACGACAAATGATGTTTAATGCAGTACGTTCACCAAGCAAAATGTGACGGGCTGTACCATAGACACGAGCGATTTCTTGTTTGCCTTGGGGTTTGAGCCATTCACCTTCCTTGACAAACCATTCCACACTATATAGATCCCCATGGTTATTTCAAAGATAAGATGTATATGCATATCACACACTACTTGCCGGCATCCAAGTTGTTTAAAGACTTCATTAAAGAGAGGTACACCAGCCAAAACGCCTTCTGCTTTGCAGTATAGAATAGCGACCTTCTCGTCTTCGCCCACGACATAGCCACCATAATCAAAGGAGGGGACGTCTTCTTCGAGATACTGTGCAATGAGCTTCTTGTAGTTGGTAGCGAGCAAATGGGTGAATTCTGTCATGTTCGAAATGGGAAGAAAGGAAGAAAAGAGGAAGAAAAGGTTATTTTGTTTGTGGGGGGTAAATATGGCAAGTGAAAGATGGAACTGAGGGCAAACCAAACTCACACAGCCATGTCAATTATTGGACAGGGCGCGTGCAGCATCAGAAGAAGAGAAAGAAGATTGAAGCACCGTCCCGAGATGTTGGTTGTACAAGGTGCATGATGATGAAGCACACATACAAGAGTTTTTTTTCCACCTTGTCTTTTTTCCTTTCCCGCCTCTTCTTCTTCTTTTCACTTTACAACAACTTCTATTGCCTGTTTACGCAACTCGCCCCAACACCTTCATTCCAAAGCTCCTTTTGTTGACCTGACATGCGCCATGGCAACAACAACAGCTCCTGACATTCACAATGTGATCCACGTCCTGCAACAGGACATTGAAAACCTCAATCATGACAAGATGATGGTATGTCGTTGTGCTCCACGTTGTGGCGAGTCATCCATATTTAATATCTCCAAGTAGCTTCAAAAAGAAAAGGACGACGAAAGCGATCGATTGAATGCCGAAGTTGCCTATCTAAGACAGGTACCCGAGGGGCAAAGGATATGGGAAGTAAAAGGGGCCAATGTATTTATTTTGTGTAATAATAGCGCGTTGAAGATATCCAGCATGAAAACAATTCCATCAGCAAAGCACAATCTCGTCTTGAAACACAACTCTATGCCCAAGAACAAGATAATGCAAAGTTGCGTAAAGAACTGAACCAACTGACTAAGGCCAAAAAGGATGCGGAAAAGAAATTGACAGCTGAGGTAGGTAGCATCCATCATTACACCCCCTCATGAGTTTCATCAATTGAAGTTGACTTTAATACTTGACAGCTTGAAGAATTCGAGAACGACCGAGCAAGATGGCAGCAACGAGAAGCTGACTTGTACAACCAAATCCGCACTTTGCATGCCACTCAAGGCGAGCCTAGAACACCACGTACACCTCGTCGTCGTAGTGTCACTGCAACAACCATGAGCAATACTACCACTATGAGTCCTTTCACTAATTATCCATTGGGTGATATTGGTAAGTGTGTGTGTGTGTGTGTGTGTGAGCGCGCTAAAGGAGGAGAAAAAGGAAAATCAGGGGGGAAGGAAATGAAAGCCGCGCTGTTGTCCAACTCAATTATGATTCTTATTATTGCACACACATAGGTGAAGATAATGAGGCGCAGGAACAAGAATCTCCTTCCTCCCCCAATGGCCTTGTTGCTCAGGCACCTCCAAAATTGGCAGCTATTGATGCATCTTATGCCCGTGAAGCCAAGATTGCTCAACGCACTATCAAGGCTCAAGACAAGTTGATTGCTGAGCTCAAGAATGATATTGAAAAGCAGAATGCTCTTATTGAAGAACAACGCAATGATGCAAAGCAACAATCGCTTCGTATGGAACATCTTGATCACGAGATTGCCAGTATCAAACAAGTCAACCGTTCTCTCATGGAAGACAATGAAAGCTATCAGATCTTATTACATGAAAAGACAATCAGTGGTGAATTCATTATGAACCCCATTATGCAGGTAATTAAGAACGATAGGCCAAAGAAAGCGGGAGGGAATCATCCTAAAGGTATCATTTTATATTAGGTGGAGGAAGAAAAACGACGCAGCATGAAAGCATCCACAAGCACTGGTAGCAATGGGTTGAATTTGGCCGCTGAGCTCAACCTTGCTTCTGTTGGTACATCGGATTGGGAAGCACAACAAAAAGCGAGTGAGACTGATCAAACCATTTCGAGTAAGTTTCAACATGATGATATGATAAGCAAGAGGCCGTCGATTGATTTAAGGATAATATATAGAGCTGTCGGAGGAGAACAAGATGTTACAGGATACCAATCGTGCATTACAGCTGTATATGAACAAGATTTTGATGAAGATTATCAATGATAAGCAACTTGTGGATGTTCTCAGTATTGATCAACCCAAGCCAACACCTGTCACCACGACAGCAACCAGCTCACGACTTGCTGAACAAGCCAAGCAACAAAAGAAATCGACGACACCTGCTGCACCTACACCTGGTCCTGGTCCCGCACCCAGTCGCACACTTTCAAGTAGTTTATTGGGCAAAGCAACCTCTGGACGACAGCAACGACGTCGTACCATTTCTTATTGGAGTGGTGGTGGTAATAAGGGGCCTACGCCACCAGCTGCAGCACTCGTCAATGACAATAGCAAAAAGAGTGGTACCACAGAATCAGCTACACGTTCGACGAATGATGCAGCAGCAGCAGATCATCACACCTCCAGCACACCTACCAGCCCTACGACGGCTACGGGTTCTCGTCGACATAGTACGCATGCTGGTAATGGAGGTTGGGCCAAGGCTTTACGTCGTATGAGTGGTATTGGATGGTCTTCATCTTCAACAACAACAACATCACCACATCAAGGCGGCAAAAGTAGTGACGATAGCAACAATGACACCACCACCACCACTACCAGTAGTAGTACTACTACCACCAGCGACACCTCCTCCGCTACCTCTGATAACAACAACAATGCACGAGATGCCCCCTCTCCCAAATTGGCAGCTCCAAGTATGAGTCGTTCAACAAGCACCACTTCCTCGTCTTTACGTCGTAGCAGTGAACTTGCCACTCTTCAAGAAGAGTAGTCTTATTCCCCCAACCCCATCTCCTCCACACACACACACACCCAGGCTCTTTTTTTTTTCTCTATATCTTTTGCCCCCAACCCTCCCTTTCCTTTTTTTTCTTTTTCTATTCTTTATTCTATTACTCTTTCCTCTCCTTGTGTTTCTTTTATACTCTATACTATATCATCTCTCCTCCTCATTTTATATGCCATTTTTGATGCTTCTTTCTTCATACCCCCCGTTATTGAATGAAAACTTGGATGCGTTCATCTTTTCCCTTTATCACAAAATGGTTGAATACGACGTACGTACAAGTTGGATGTGTTACCCAACAAGAAGTGTGCATAACTGGAACCACGTGCAATCGACCCATGTTAAGGTAAACCCCAATTCGGGTATCATTGTTGAATGTGGACAAGTGGTGTGGTTGGATTCATGTGTGTGTGTGTCAAAGCTTGTTTTGGATCACTCTACTTCCCACGGTCATCCACCTACAGTATACAATCCGGTAAAAGTGGTGGTGTCATGTGCTTCATCATGATGATCGTCATTGTTCACAAAAGCATTCGGTTTCCATGGATACAGTAGTAATGATCCTTTTATTTTCCTTTTTTGCATATACACCACATTGGCTCAGCTGTTTGGGCAGGCATACACACACACACCACCACCATCATCATCAGCTGCTGCTGCTGCATGTATTGATAATAGACACATCGTTGGCCCTATCTCTAAATGGACCAGGTACACCAATCATATTGCAATGCAGTGTATCATGATGCAGGTACATTCACACACACACACATGGCCTCGTTTCGGGTGCGCAAGTCATTCATAGGATGTATATTTGTATATAAGAAATGGTCTGTGTTTGTGAGTGTGTTTGTGTGTGTGTATGGGGTGGATGATGCAATCATTGAAGGTTGAGGGGATAAAGAGAGAAAAAGCTAATATAATATATATACAAAGAAATGATGTGATATATGTGTGAGTGTGTGTGAGAGCCAAGTTTAAGCATTGATGCCTGGATAGAGTCGTGCTTGAATGGAAGAAACATTGGGTACTCCAAGCTCGGTCTACAACAACAACAACCCATGTCATTAGTTTTGCGATACATGGCATGCCGCTCTTTGTAACAATTTACCTTTGCATTTGAATGTTCGGGAGACGTATTGGCGTATTCAGAGGTGGGTGATCGTGAACAATGATAAAAACCACATTTCTGGAGGAGGAGAAGAAAATGATGAATCAATCATGCATATAGGTCCCTGAATACCCCTCCCTCTTGTATGTATGTATGTATGTATGTACTTACGTCTGACCATTGTGATAAGCATGCCCAGCAAAAGCAATAACCACACAATGAGCAATCCACCTTGTTACAACCTTCATCGCGTTGGATCATGATAGAGCAACTGGGACAACGTCGGCTATACATAATAGAAAGGATCGTTTATCACCATGCATCATCATCATTCAAACACCCACCCCCTTCCTCCTTCCTCCCTTATATGTACCTGTTTTTCAGCTGCCATTGAAATGTCTCTATCACTTCGACGGGTGCAGCATGATGATCCACCACGTTTTGCATGTATTGCTCACATGTAGAGCCTGGATGTTGTTGATTACCGCATTGTAAGCAAAAGACCATGTTGCATTCGGGACTACATTACATGGGATCAGTATCATCTTCCTCTTCATCCTTTGCCCTTTTGTATCTTACCAATGGATATCAGGGAATTGGCCAATGTGAATAAATTGTAGCTTTCTCCAAGTGTCAGGCTTCATGTCAAAGCATAAGATTTGCTGTGCAATGGCAAGGGGCTGGATAAAAGAGGGATGGTCCCGTTCCAAGACCTTGAGCGCATGAATCGTACGCTTGTACACATCCAACAATGTATGGCTAGACCATTCTTGGCGTTCATAGACTGGTAATAAATCTCGCAACAGCATACGATGACGTGGATGATCATGGTGTTCGGTGCATTGAAGCAAGTATTCTTTGAGTAGTCCATGGACGCGTCTGGGTTGACTATAGTAGTAATAGTAGGGTTGGTTGTTGAGTATACAAAAGATGATCCACCATGGGCCCCCTCCTCCTCCTTAACTCGACAACGCCATCATGGTAACACACACACACACACACACATGCACCAAACATACCTTCGTTGTAATCTTTGACAGGGCATCACCTCCGTTTCACACCCAGGACAACAACGTGAAAAGCTGCGATAAGGTTGATTGAAGCGATTGTATTGATCCACGACGCTCTTTGGTACGAATTTGCTCCATTCACTTTGTGGGATATGGTCCTGACATACAGGGCACCTGATCTTGGTCACACTTAGACCCCATGACGAGGTAACGACATTGGTCACGTATCTAATGTAATAGGTATGAGTGTGAGTGTGTGTGAGATAAAGGATGATTGCATAAATGAGAAGAATGCTGCATGCAGCATCATCACACTTGCCTGCGGAAGCAATCAAGACAATATTGATCACGACAATAATCAAGGCATAAATCAAGTTGAGCTTCAAAGCAAATGGAGCATCGTTGAAGCCAATACTCCATGTTATCTTGAGGATCGTCATTGTCATCATCATCATCGTCGTCATCGTCATCATGATGGTGAATGTGATTGTGGTTGTTGTGGTTGTGGTCCTCTGTTGCTGACGTCAAAGTGGCTGTTGTTGTTGTAGTTGCAGCAGCAGCACCACCACCACCTGATGATGCCGCGTTGGTGTGTGGATGCACCATGCGATTAATGATCAAGCCAAGAATTCCGGAAACCAACGTGCTGAGGATAAAGAAAGGAAAAAGAAAGATACAAATGGCAGCGACGAGTAGTCGATATAACGGTAAAAAGCCTATCCATTGATGATGATGATGAGGTTGTTTGTTGGTGTTGGTAGTTGAACCCATGATAGTAGTAGTGGTAGGTGGCATTTGGGAAATGGGGGTTATATATATATATGTATTGTATGTATGTATATGTATAATGTGTATGCGAAAGAGAAAGAGAAAAGAAAGAAAAAGAGAAAAAAGGCGCTTACTTACTTGGACAGTATTCTGTATAAAGCTTGGCTCAAGGGGGAGAAGCCCGACCGCAAGGGGGTGGGTGATGATGATGATGTTGGTGGTGTTGAGTGATGATAACGATGCTGTTGTTTGTTCGAAAAGACAATGTTCTTGGGAACAAAGAGAATGTCCTTTATGATAAATGGGGTGGGAGATAAGGAAAAGAAAGAGCGAAAGAAAGAGAGAGAGAGAAAGAAAAAGAAAACAAAGCAATGTAATAAATTATTGTGTGGATGCGTTGAGTGAATAAAGAGCTGCTGCTGCTGCTGCTGCGTGTGTGAATCACAATGTCGTATTGACGCCACGCGGGTGGGTGGGCATTCATGCTGTTGTAAGTAAGTTGGGTGGTAAACACACTCACACGACTCATTTTGTATGGTGACATAAAAAAACTTACTTTGGGGATAATCCTTGTTCATATGGTCCATGTGCGTGTTTATGCTACCCAACATGTGGTCCTGTCCATACACACACGCACCACGCAGGAATTCTGCAACACCCATTTTCCATGTCCGGTGTGAGCCGAGAATCCGAGAAGCGCTTTCCAACACCACCACCATTTTCATTTTGCTTTTTGTATTCTTTTCTTTCTTGCCATGTCAGCTCCTCCTCCTCCTTCAAAGGATAAAACACCTGCAGACTTCGCTTCCGATTCACGTTATACGCTCAACAAAGAAACCAACAAATGGTCCTATGTCGGTGACGATGGCGTTTGTTATGAATACGATGAGTCTTTGGCTGCTTGGTTTCCAATGGTACCCATTCCCTCTCTCTCTCTCTTTCTTTCACATCGTGCCATTGACTCATATTCTCTTTCAAGTACGACGAAGACCTGATCAAGCAACAACAATCCGCTTATGCCATCGAAGGTGTCGACGAATCGGTATGGGATCCTCTTTATTCTAGATTCTATGCAACCCAAACTCACGCGTGTGTGCATAGGAGCCTGCTGTACAGCCGCGACAAAAGAAAAAGCGTGTTTATACCTATGAAGAAGTAAGCAACAAGGACGCATCATGTCTTTTCTCTCTTGTTTTGACTCATACGAATTCTAGGAGAATGAAGGCAATAGCAACAACAATGCCAAGAAGCAAAAGCGTGATACAGCAAAACGACCCAATACATCCGTTTACGTTACTGGTGTACCACCCGATGCCACGATTGAAGAGATCAAGGAAGTCTTTACGAAATGTGGTGTCATTATGGAGGATCTTGAGAGTGGTATGTGTGTGTGTATAGAAGAACGATCATTCCTTTTCATCCTAATGGGATTGTATAGGCCAACCCAAGATTAAGATTTATCAAGATGCAGAAGGTCGACCCAAAGGAGATGCATTGGTCACGTATTTCAAAGAAGAGTCTGTGCCTTTGGCGATCAATCTATTGGATGATGCAGAATTCAGACTGGGTGAACCCTCGACCCGTATTCGAGTACAACAGGCCGTATTTACTGAGAAACAACTTCCTGCGGATAAGAAAAAGAGTCAAGCCAACAAAAACAAGACCAAGAAACGATTACATCAATTGCAGAGGTAAATGGATGGTGGGGGGTAGGATGGATCGTAGGGACTGACTGATCTGATCATTTGGTTGCCATAGGAAATTGGATTGGGTTGATGAGGAAACGGGTAAAAAGGCGGAGAAATTCAACAAGATTGTCATTTTAAAGAACATGTACACCCAGCAGGAATTAGACGTAAGTTGAGACAACATGCGTGCATGCGCGTCACTTTTGTACAAATGGAGTATAGTGTACGAATCATTCATTTTGTTATATAGGAAGATCCAACTTTATTGCTGGAATTAAAAGAAGATGTCCGAGAAGAATGCGAAAAGCTGGGTGAAGTGACCAATGTGATTCTTTACGATGTAAGTAGTGATGATGATGGTGGGGGTAGGATAAGGAGCCAATTTCGGATGCTGACCACCGATCTCTTTTACACTCATAGAAATCCCCTGGTGGCGTCATATCCGTGCGGTTCATGGAGCAAAAATCAGCAGAAGCATGCGTGCTGGTAAGGTTTGATTTGGCAATTGGATGGTGGTGGTGGTGTTGTGTGGTCACCCCCCATTTCTCTCCCCCAAATTGAACTCAGTGATATGTATATTATCTTTAGCTTATGAACAATCGTTACTTTGCGGGCCGACAAATCAGTGCCGAGATTTACGATGGTAAAACAAGATATGAAAAGAGCGGTGCACGGACGACCGAAGAAGATGATGAGAATGAAAAAGCAAGATTGGAACGATACGCAAAATGGCTTGAACAAGGTGGTGGTGGATCCGATGATGATGATGGTGGTGACAACAACGAGTCCTGATTGTGGCACAAATGAATGGACACAGACAAACGCATGGGGGATACGGAGGTTACGCAGAAGGAGAAATGGCCAACTTGCAAGGTCGAGTTATTTAGTACACCACCACCATGTCCTATTCTCTCTTTCTCTCCCTTGTGTTGCTTTCATATTTCATTTTAGTTTTCTCTCGTTTTCTTTTCCCTTTCACTCACTCTCACTTTTTTTTACCTCACTTTTTACACCACCGATCATCCATCCCATCCCATCCTATCATGCCACATCAATTTCAGCCCAAGGACGCAAGAATAAAGAGCGACATTGATTTCGACGATGATGAGCTGACCTTGTATTCCCAGTCATCTCGTAAGACACGTACTCAAGAATTGGCTGATTTCCTTCTCTCCACGGGTCCAGAGGAGTTTCATAAAAACAACAGCGTCCCATCTAGTGCAAGTAGCAGTGGAAGTAGTACGACAAGTGGCAGCATTGCTACCTTATCATTTTTGAAAAGAGCACGCAACAAGAGCAAAGGAACATTAGCATCCATGACACAACAACATGCAAAGCAGCAGCAGCACAATAACAAATCACATCATGGATCGTCATCATCATCAGCATCAGCAGCAGCACCCGTAGCAACGTCGTCACCCGTAGCAACGTCGTCACCCGTAGCAACAACAACTCCTCCAAAGACACATATTGAGATAGCTCCTCCCCCACCGGAACCTATACTTCCGAGACGTGAATCAAGCTTATACAGTGGTTCCATGCGCTATCGCAGTATGAGTAGTAGTCATAATGGATGGGGGACTCAACGTACCAACCCTGCAAGTCCCAAAAATCACGAGCGACACGTGGCAGATGTATTTGAAAGTAGACAAATTGATCAAGCTTTACAACAGAGGATCGTCACCGCTACTGCGAACGGCCATCTTCCCACAACCACAACCACCACAACCCCGTCATCATCATCATCCACTACAACAACAACAACAACCAAAAGAGTACGTCATGCCCATATTCAAACGGATCAATCCTCTTTGAAATCCTTGCATCGTCCTCCATCCTCTTCCTATCGACCAGCCCTTGATGGCATGGATTCTACCACAACGACGATGCCTACTACGGTGGAGGAATTGCAACGCCAAATTGCCTTGGAGAAACAACGCCAAAAACGACTAGAAGCTGCCATGAATACCACGTGTGACCAATTTGAAGTATTGAGTGGTATCGCCTATGTCAAATTACGGATGATATGGGAAGAAAAGATGCATTGGGAAAGCGCTTACTTTGCCCTAAAGGAACAATGCGGTGAAGTTTAGGTTATATTCGTTCATTCATTCATACATAATTGGTTACACTGGACTCCCTCCCTCCCTCCCCACTTTTAATTTTGATGTAAATATATAATTCGTCGTCGTCGTCCCTTTTTTCTTTCTGAGCCAACAAGAAGGTATCTTTTAATATCATTATGTATAATAAGTCTGTAAACAACGCAAACAAAATAGGGTGAAAGTGAATAAAGTATGTGTATATAAGAGTATAAGAGGTGGTATATATATGGGTTGGGGTGGGTGGAAAAAGAGGAACCAAAGGCATCATGGTATATACATTACACCAACTCGTCATTCATCCATGGGCGTCGTCGTTGATGTGTATTACTGCCCAAACTGCCAAGCAACATTTCAGCACAGACAAAGAGGACATGCCAAATGCGTATAAGGTATACAAAGAAACTCGACACGGTACGCAATCCTTTTTTGTTGTTATCAACGAAATCCTCAGCAAGTTCAAATGCCAATAAGAGATCATGTGCAAGTCGTTCGGAAGCGTGAAGGATCGGCCATTGTAATAATCGCTCTGTCAAATCATCTTTTTGTTGTTGTACAATGTCTCGTTGTTGTTGTTGTTGTGATGGCGATGTCATGAGCGTCCCATAATAGGGTGGGGTAGTGGTAGTAGTAGTATCACTGGATTGTGGAATATCATTCATCTTGTCTCTTTGGCCATGTTCCTTTTCTTCCATATTGTTGGTGGTGGTGGTGGTGGGGGTAGTGGTGGTCTCTTGTTGTTCTTGAGCAGGTAATCGTAGCGTTTCTTTACCCTTTTCATTGGAATCCAATTCATACAAAGCGGAAGGTGGAGGAGAAGGTGATCCATGACGATAAAAGTCCACTGCATCCAAGGAGATCCCACTCACATCCTATGTATATACAATATCAATGACATGATCATCATCATCATCACTACGGTCTCCTTTTTGCTTACTTTATCTGGGGCCATCCATAAATTTTCATCCATAACAGGGGCAGGAGCACTCATGACCATCACATCATTCTCTTCGAGGGGTGGTGGCGATGCATCTTGTTCTTGTTGCTGTTGTTGTTGTTCCATCATTGTTGTTGCTGGCATCATCATGATAGGTGGCAAATCATCTTCCTCTTCCTCTTCTTCTTCTTCTTCCCAATCGAACTCCATTTGATCCATCATGGCCGTCGTATCCTGGGGAACAAGTTGAGGTGTAAACATGAAATCATCACCGGATAAATAAACCATGGATTGTGCATTAGGAATCCCCAAAAGGATCTGCTGCGATTTGCTGTACATGCTATGTAAATGCCAACTCTCCAAAAAGGTCCTACGATGGTTGCTAGGGCCCGCAAACTTTTGCATGGTTGCATAAAAGATCCGTGTCGCTGTCTCATACTTGTCATCCATCATGGCCATCATGCCACCACCACCATCCTCATCATCCTCATCATCATTCATTGCCGGCTCTTCTTGTGATGATGATAATAACATGGAGGGTGGAATAGGAGGTGGAGGTGGTGGCGGCTGGTTGAGGAAGAAATATTCATCATCTTCTGTTAACGGTGGTGGAGGTGGTGGCACTGGGTCCTCTTGTTCCATGGGGCCAGGATGGTGGGAATCTTGCTCCAATGACCATTTGGGTATACAATCAGTGGGTGACTCTGGAGAGATGGCTGTTGTTGTCGTATTGGGTTGAACATGAAGCATGTTGATTCACAATCGTTCGCTCTTTTTTTTTGGGTTGTATAGATACCCGCACGCACGCACCAACACACACACACTATGCGTTTTGCCCGCCACGAAAAAAAAGTAGGTTTAAGGGGAGAAAGAGAAAAGGAAAAAGTAAACAGAAGCGCTTTTACCAACAACAACGAGTGTTGTATGTGTATGTGCAGGAGGAGGAGGAAAGGGGTGGATGAATGAGCAGCAGCAGCAGCAGCAGCAGCCCACCATCAACAACGGGCGTTTTTTTCTTTTTGGCGCCCTTAGAGAGTCTCATGTGAAACCTTGGAATGTTTGTTCAAACATGGTAACTGTTGTTGTTGTTATGGGGGTATGTATAAACATAGGATTCAGATACATCAGATATGCATTAAAATAAAGTCAACTTTTTTTTTTCTCTCTCCAATATCCATGTTGCATAAAAATCATCCTTGTACTTTTTGCCTTTTGGGCCAAAGCTCTTTATGTTACACAAATTTTGGAATATACCGCTAAACCGAATATACCGCACGCTTAGCTACCACGGTAAGTGGTGTAAGAGTAAGGGCTGATCAAAAGAGGGATATGATAATGTTGCTCGGGGTGTTCAATCTCGAACACAATCTAGATAGATAGAATTCCTATGAGTCTTTTCTTCTCCTTCCTTCTTTCCATAATGATGTGTGTGTGTGTGAGAGAGCTATATTTCTTTACCTGGACATAAGGATAGAAGCACTTTTCGCCCTTGCGAGCAAAGAACTCCTTGGTCTCAAAAGTGACACGATAGACACCCTTCTCAACCTTGTAGTCGCTAGGCAAAAGGTTGGGGCAACGACCATCATCGTTGGTCTCACTACATAGATGTCAATGTGAGCCTTTACTCGAAATCCACATAGATAGATGGATATACGTACGCAGTGGAAAGAACAGAGAAAGCACCAGCAGCACCTTCCTTTTCGATCTTTACACGGACATGTTCTCCAGGCTTGCCAACAGAGGCAACAAGGACGTGGCAGGTGATAGGGCTCTTGGACATGGGCTATAGTGAGAGTGTGTGTGTATGTGTGAGTGATTTAATATAGGATGTGTAAATAAAGGATATACACAAGAGGGCTTACAGTAAGATGTTGTTTGACGGCTGCAAGACGAGAAGAAGCAGACATAGTGTCTGAGATACCCATCCCCCCACAACCTTTTTTATATCGGATGGATCGGTTGTGACTTTGCAAGCTGAGATAACTTTGGTGTTAATGCGTATGCTCCGCAACCATCGTGCTCTCTTTTGTTATGGGTGGTACGCAAAGCACTGAACAAGGCCAATATGGGTTTCACGTATTAAAGGTAAGTTGTTCACGTGCATCCACCCTCGTTTTAAATACTTACTTGCAAGTAAAAACAAGGTGAAAGAAAACTCTCCTGCATTCAAGGCCGGCATTGAGCAGTTCTTTGACTATATTATCGGCATCAACGACATCAAAGTGGTACGTGTATGTGTGTGTTGTCGACCATGGGCATCCAATGCCAACACGTTGTCAAATTCGTCTTGAAAGGACAATGGCGATAGTGAGACCTTGCTTCGTATTTTAAATGACTCGGAGAACAAGCCCGTGCAACTGGAGGTCTATTCAAGCAAAGAGCAAGCTGTTAGAGGTTCGTATATGGAATGTCTCTCTATCTTTTACGCATGATGATTCACCATGGATACGTGTATATAGAGGTGACTCTGATCCCTAGCAGTGATTGGCACAAGGATAATCCTGGCGAAAAAAGCTTGATAGGTACACACACACACACACGAAAAAAAAAAGAATGTCATGGTTCTTAATGTTGGATTTAGGATGCTCAATACGGTTTTGTTCCTATGAGAGGGCGGGTGAACATGTATGGCATGTTCTTAGTGTTGCACCCAATTCACCAGCAGAGATGGCAGGCATTATTCCCGAAAGCGATTATATCATTGGCAGTCCACATGCAGTCCTTGCCAGTGAAGATGGCTTTTATGATTTGGTGGAAGAGCATATTGGCAAGCCATTACAACTTTATCTATACAACTCTGAATGGGATAGTTGCCGTGAGGTAAGTCTAGGAAATCATAAACGGGAGAGTCTTCTTATGCTGAGGGACATGTTTTTTAGGTGATTATTGTTCCAAACCACGATTGGGGAGGTCATGGATCCTTGGGTTGTGATGTTGGATATGGTTTATTACATCGGATACCGCGCAAATCAGCCAGCACGAGGCCCTCTGAAGATGTCTCTGCCCAATACAGCAATGCCATCTTTAATGCTCCTGCCGATGAACCTCAAGGCCCTGAACAAGAACCATCGTCATCCAATGCTGAACATGTCGTCGAACAACAACAACAACCACCACCATCATCACTACCGCCACAAGATGAAGCAACAGCGTCATCATCACAAGAGGAACCTTCATCATCCAATGCTGAACAACAACAACAACAACAACAACCCCAGGAAGAATCCTCATCATCGTCAGCCAAAGATGAACAACAACCACCATCATCCTCACCCAAAGAAGCTAAACCATCCTCACCCAAAAAAGACGACTGATGCGCAATAAAGAGGGACACTATGTACAATCTTAATACGCGTGAAGCTTGAATAATACAATATGGAGGGTTGGGATGAATCATTGCCTCAGTAAAAGTAAACGTGTATAAGATAAGGGAGTATATAGATACCTGAAGGTATGCCATATTAACAAGGGATGCAATTATGGCGGGTGGATAGTAAGACAATTTATTGAACTAGCAGTGTGAAATAGCTGCGGCGACTTCAGTGGGGTGTATTCCTACCTTAATTATCTGCAGGAGGATTGAACGACTACTACTTCAGGAACACCGCCAATGAATAAACCAGGCACCACGACCTTATGCATCAATTCCACCATGATCATCTTTTTATTGATGTTATCCAATGGATGCAAAAAGTAAAGCAAGTTGTAAGATAAAAGACGCGTTGCTAGGATCCATTGCCCGGGTAACGAGGTTGGCATCGCACCAAGATAAAAATCCAATAAAAGACATGTCGTTTGTGCAACCCAAATGAAGCTATTCTCCTTCCCTTCCACCACCATCATCTTTTTCATTCCATTCCTTTTGCAATGCCCACTTCTCTACGTGATGGACGACGGCTGACGGGCTATGTTACTGGAGCACACGATCAACAGAGTGTTGCACCTGCACAGATCCACCGCCATTCTCTATACGACGACGGCATGGACGATTACCACAATCACCCTATTGACGATGACTATGACGATGATATGGACGACGACGACGAAGAAGAGTCTGTAGGCTCTGTTTTGAGTATACCCGATCCCAACATTGATTTCGACCTTGTCTATGCACTACACACGTTTGCAGCCACTGTGGAAGGACAAGCCTCTGTGGTGAAAGGGGACGCATTAACCCTGTTGGATGACAGCAACTCTTATTGGTGGCTCGTCAAAGTGCTCAAAACATCTGAAGTTGGCTATATTCCTGCCGAGAATATCGAGGTAAATCGGGCATCCTAGGACATGTGTGGGATGGATGGTGTATTGATGTTGTTGGATTTGGATGTACATAGACGCCTTATGAACGATTGGCACGTCTTAATTCACATCGCAATATCGAATTGACACAACGTGATATCCAAGATGCATTCCCTGCTCCCCCTTCCACCAAACCCAAGAGCAACAAAAAAGTCAAGCTGGCCAAAGGTGTCAAATTCCAGGCACAAGTTATTTTCGGATCCAGTGACGATGAAGATTTTGAAGAGGAATTCGAAGAATGGCAGGAAACGATTCGCACCGATAGTGATACGGATGATCTCGATGATACCACCGATTCGGATGATGATGATGATTACTATGATGATGTACGGTTGTATGGATCAACAGGTGGCTATGATTATGGTCAATCATCGGTGGATAATTATGCACGATCCCATCACCACCAACAAGTATCACAACAACAACAACAATATGCACAACCTACTACTAGCAACCACCATCATCAACAACAACAACCCTATCCTCCTGCACAACCACAACAACAGCAACAACAACAACAACAACGGGGTGGTAACATGCCATTTAGAGACACTTTGGATCTTGAAGCCACTGAGACAATCAAATTCTCATTGACACCTGAAGTTGCACGTGATACCCATGAATCTGGAAATCAATACCGAGAAATGAGCTATGGCGATCCACAAAGTAAAGCCAGCAAACTGGAGAGTATCCTTGCAGGAGATGGATCATCACCACCTTCATCATCGTCATCATCAGCAGTACCCCCTGTGAATGAACAACGTCGTGGCTCCAAGGATAAAAAGGAAAAGGGTGGATTGCGTAAATTGTTTTCGCGCAATAAGGATGGCAAGGACAAAAAGCAGCGAAAGGGCAGCATGGATAAGCAAACAACACCGATCATTACTGTGGGTGGTGAAATCATTTCATCTGAGACAGCATCGCTTTCTTCACAATCAACAGGTTACTCTGATCGTGATCGTGCTAGCAGTATCGATTCTTCTTCCCATATGCATATGCATCATCATCATCAACATCAACATTATTCACATCAGCAACAGCAACAACCTCGTGATCCTCATCCACATCAACAACAGCAACCCGAACCTGCCACCGCCGGCGTACAACAACAACAACAACAACCTGCTATGCTCAAGATTTATGCCGGCAATGTACGCTTTGGTGCCGAATTCAAGATTGCCAATACTTATCCAAATACAACAGCTGCTGATTTGATCCAACATGCATTGCATACATTTGATATCCAAAATCATCAACCCAGTGCCAATGCAGATGCTCATCTCGATTACTTTTTGGTTGTACGTGGTGTGGATGGAGGTAAGTAAGGGAGGGGGGAATGTATAAAGAAAAAGAGGCGAGGCTCATTTCTTTTTTTATTTAGATGAGTATACATTGGTGCCCAATGATCGACCTCTTACCATTTATTCCTCGTTAACGGCTCATTTGAATACACCTATGCCATCTTTGAAAAAGGCACGTCGTATTTCTGCCTTGATGGGTGCCAGTGATAGTACACATATTGGTGGTCCCAAGGAAGGAGCTGAAGAGATTCAAGAAGAGGTGCGCTTCTACCTGTATACCAAGGCCAAGCGGCCTGAAGATGGCCACATGTCTATCAAGGTGTCGTTGTTTGCATCCGAGATTGGTGGCAATACCAGCATTCTAAAGTTTGATCAGACGCGTGTGGATAAATTGGTGACCGTACCCATCCATGCCTCTGTGAGTGATGTGACAGCCCTTGTTCTTGACAAGTTTCATATCTTGAACGGCATTGTGGATGGTCCTGATGCTGAAGAAAAAGCACAGTCGTTGCGTCTACGAGGTGCTGAAGACCAAGCGATTCGATACCAACTCTCTGTCAGCAAACAAGGACAAGGTAAGTATATCCACCCCCTCACACCTTTTTATAACATGACATGTCTATTTAACACACAAGGTATTAGAAATGATGCTTGCACCCACCGTGGATATCAGCAGCGCATTTGGTGATAATTTACCACCCGTTGTCCACCGTCGCAACAGTAGCAATCCCGATAGAGCCTCTATTGCATCCTTGTCTTCTGTTATAACTCCTTCTCCTCAACCCGATGAAACGTTTTTCATTCTTCGACGATCCGATCGCCACAATAAGGACTCTTCTTCTCAACAAGTTCCAGGTAAATGATATATAAAAAGAGTTTACACCTCTTGCTCATGGCTATTTTTATTTATAGTACGACCTCCCCGCCCTACCAGACAAGACACACCCATGCCTAGAGGAACACCTTCACCTGCCAATGGCCCTATGCCTGATGTTCCATCTTCTGGAAATAATGTTCATCCACTTGCTATTTCTACTACAACAGACCAGGAACAACAACAACAACAAGGCCAAGTGATGTATGATGAACCTGAGTCAGCTGTGGATGTGCTTATGAAACTCGATCAAGCGCTTGATAATTTAGCCCATACACGCAACAGCAACGAACCTTTAACGGAAGCCATTGTGGCAAGCAGTATCAACAATAGCCGAGACATGTTGCAACAAACAACCATGCATGATGATGTTGTTGATGATGAGACCGATGATAAAAAGGAGCAACAACAGCACCACCAACGGGCATGGGATATGGATAGTGATATTGATGCGCCACCACAGCCATCCATCACTGAGCATGAGCACCACAAGCCTATGGAGGAGGAGAACCAACAACCACCATCCATGGATGGTAAATCAAGTCGTCGTACACCTGTTGACTCTATGCTATTCTGTGAAGAATTTGGCATGAATGAACTCATGGTGCTGATTCGTGGTGCTGTACGCTATGCAGAGGAGCAAGAACAATCAACAAAGACACATAAACATCCACCTATTCGTAGCGAAATCAGTGAGGTGTTCAAGGACAGCCAACAACGACTCGAACAATTGGAAAAGGTATATACACATATAGAGGTTGCTTTTTTTCTTGCCGCTCACAATCCTATAGGAACTGGATCGTCTCATGGCGGATGCTGTTAGAGTTTATCCTTAAATTATATACAATAATACCCATCCATTATTATTACTACTAGAAAGCAGCAGCATCATTGATTTGGATTATTGAATGTCACACACTCTGATGATGTTGATGTGGATCTATTACACTTTATGCTTTGTTTCCTCTTCCGGTTGAAAAAAAAGTTCATCTCTTTTGGAAAATGAGCTCGTCGAGCGATTACTATTTACAACCACACAAAGTGCAACGGTTTCCCCTGTCCCATAGATGACCAAAGATCATAAAGAAGTGAAGGCAATGGGTTTGATGCAAACGTTGCTGTATGTATTTAACCTGCTTTGGATGAATCACACAAAAGTGGAGTAACCATGCTCAAAGCGATCCTCGTGACAATGCTGGGTCGGAAAAAAGAAATTATGGTTACATACTTATATATAAGCTAGTCGCATGATGATGATGGATGCTTTGGGTTACGTCGACGGCATGATAATGGCAACTGGATTGCCGTCATTGAATGGGTCGTTAGATTTGTATTATGTACAGCAGCAAGTTTACATAAGAATAATGTATCAAAAAAAGATCAAAAGTGCTACGTACAACAACAACAAGCTTATATGGGTGGTGTGTGTACACCATTTCACATTTGGGAAAAAATGCGGGATCAATGTAGACATCTGAATAAATGAGATCCGATAGACAATGGATGGGATCATTGTATATATGTATATGTACATAAATGTATCCTTACATAGGAGGAGGAGAAGAAGGAGGAGGGAGGGAAATCTGTCAGTAGAATGGCATACACAGGGGGGGGGTTCATTATCCAAGAAGTGAATGGTATGATGATGGATGATGCTACTAGATAAGGATGCATTCCAGAATGTCGATTCTCTCTCAATGGATGAATCAAAACACACACACACACTCACACATAGACGACTCCTATATTCATTCAATAGACATGGATTGCTCATTATGTAAATGAAAGTCATATTACATCAAATGAATGTGGAACAAATTACTCTCTTCCTCGCATTCATTCATTCCCACTTTCCCGCCGACCCAGCAGCAGCGCGCACATAAAACTCTCCGCTATTGCAGCAGCATCATCAGCAACGGCAAAGCAGGTAAGCGCGTTCTCGAAAAGGAAGGCGCTTTCTGTTCATTTCCCTCTCTCTCTTTCTTCTCTCACCACCCCACCACTCACTCTTGCTCTTTTTCCTCTTTTGCTACTATCTATATTTATGCTTATTTGAACGAACCAGGTAAATAACAAGGATAGCTCTTTATTTATACATGAGGCAGCATACTCATTCGTAAGCGTTTCTTTTTAAACTACTACTACTACTACTACTATTCCTAGTTCTCTCCCTCTCACACACTCGCGACTCTACACATTCCAGTCTCTTATCAACATTGTCGAACGCATGACTAACAACAATACCCGACCTCGGCGTACAAGTGTACCAAAGTCCAAAAGAAAGAAACAACGATCGATAGGTGGTGGTGGAAGAAGAGTATCACGTACACCCGATACCCATAGTATTGCGTCTTCTTCGTCGTCCACATGGTCGTCTGACAAAGCAGCAGCAGCAAAGCAACGCAATGCCGTCAAGAATGAGCTGAATGATATTATCGACAATGACCAGGACGGCTTTTGGACAAGACCCAGCAATGCAGAGGAACGCCAACGCATTCGAGAATTCTGGTTACAGCTACGTGAAGACGAGCGTCGTTCTCTCATCAAAATCGAGAAGGAGGCAGTACTCAAGAAAATGAAGGAGCAACAACGACATTCCTGCAACTGTTCAGTGTGTGGCAAGAAACGGTACGTTCATCATCCCCTCTATCTCCCTCCAAAAACCCCTGCCCCTTCTTCCTCACATAACGCACACACATCTTTGTGTTCCTCTTCTCCCACACACCCACCCCACCCCCACCCCACCCTCACCCTCCTCCTCCTTTCCATCATCACATCTCTCTCTCTCTCTCTCTCTTTTTCTTTATGTGAAACACCCAAGTCGTGTTACACGTATGCTTGTGTGTGTACAATTGTTGATTTCCATGGACACAACAGGTTCTTATTGAAATCCCTGTATAGCACCGCTATTGAAGATGAACTCGAGGTCCTTTACGATGCTTATTATGAGGAATTGGAACAATATACCAACAACAATCAAAACAGTTCTGGCATCAATCCTTTGACTGGTACACCCGTATCTGATATGGATGATGATGATGATGACGATGACGACGACGATGAGGAGGAAGATCCCGATTATGAATCAGATTATGATGATGACGACGACGACGACGATATCGAGAATGATCCATCTGACGACGACGAGGATGACGACGAAGATGAATATAGCTCAGATCACCTTGCTTTTGGCAACAGTCTCACGGTCAAAGGTACATAACAACAACCTTTTTATAATGCCCGATAACCCGCACACACACACACACATTCTCACAAAAGAGTGATCACTTAGGTGGGATTCTTACCGTGGCTGATGACTTGTTGCAAAACAATGGCAAGAAATTTCTCGACATGATGGAACGACTTGCAGAAAGGAGGATCAAAAAAGAAGACCCTTTGGATTACAGACAAGAAGATGACGAAGAGGATGAAGAAGATGATGAATACTTGGATGATGATGACTATGAAGATGAAGAAGAGGTATGTTGTGTGTGTGTGTGTGTGTGTGTGTACATCACTTGGAGTTGGTATCTGACTTGCAAATACCCACCCCCTTAGGACGCACGGACAGAGTTGCAACGCATTGAAGAAGGCCGTCGCACATTCCAAATATTTGCTGCTCGCATGTTTGAACAACGTGTCCTTGCTGCGTATCGTGAAAAGGTGGCTCAAGAACGACAGCAACGCTTGATTCAAGAATTGGAAGAGGAAGATCGCCTTCGACAAGAAAAGGAATTGAAAAAGCAAAAGGAAAAGGAACGAAAAAAGGATAAGAAAATGTAAGTCATCGTTTATTTCTTGATGCAAACGACTGCATAGGGCTTATCTTTTTCATATATCTCTTAGGCAACTCAAGAAGCAAAAGGAAGAGGAACGGCGGGCCAAGGAGGCTGCAAAGAAAGCTGAAGAGGAACGATTACGTGCTGAAAAGCAAAAGAAGCTTGAGGAAGAACGACAACGACGTGAACAAGAACGACGACAAAAGGAAGAGGCTCGATTACGTCGTGAAGAAGAAAAGCGTCGTCGTTTGCAAGAAGAGCGTGAACGTGCAGCTGAAAAGGAACGTAAACGACAGGAACGTGAGATGAAGAGAAAACAAGAACGCAAGGAACAAGAGGATCGTGATCGTCAAGAACAACAATTCAAGCAAGAAAAGGAACGACGTGAACGAGAGCTCAAAGAAGAAATGGAGAGACGCGATCGAGCCTTGCAGGAACGAAAGCTCAAGTGGGAAAAAGAAGAACAACGTCGCAAGAGTCAACAAACCTTGATTGATGCCTTGATGGGTCCTTCTTCTTCTTCATCCTTATCATCTTCTTTATCGTCCTCCTCCTCGTCTATCACCACAGCCTCTGATACCGGTAAACTGCTGTTCCAGATTGGGTGTATTTAGGAAAAAAAAAGAGAGAGAGAGGGAAAAAGGGAAAAAGGAGTGATCATGCTCACCGATCTACTACAACAGCTTCTTCACCAAAAACAAAGACCAATCGATCCATCGCTCCTATTGGCCCGCCCTCTTCTAATCAACTTCATCGTCCTCCTCCAACTGTTGTTTGCAATGATCCTTCCAATGACCAACGTCCTGCAACCGAGAACTCTTTCTTTTCCAATTTCTTGTTTGGTCCATCCAAAGGTACATTTTCTTTTATCATGTGAGTGGCATACGTTATTTTAACACACATGTCTTGTCTATAGATAAGAATCAAGACAAGACAACCCAAGAAAGATCAGACATTCAAACTTCAAATGATACCCCCAAAGCGAATTGGACCAATGGTATGAGAATCATCCTTGTGTGTGTTGCATGTTTACTCATGTTGAATGGGGATTAGGTTGGACCGCTTCGACCTTTTTATCCGAGGACTTTCATGGAAGGCTCTTTGGCAATGTACTGGTAAGTTGATGATGCTTGATGATGAGGATGATGATGATGGCTATGAAGATTCATGGATCTATCTATTATTTTAGCCTGACCGAAATACGGTGTTACTGGAAAAGGCCAAGGCAGCCTACAACAAGTTGGATGAAATTTCTCGCACAGCTACATTCCTTGGACCTGTACCTCCATTTTATACCTTGGCTCAAATCCATCGTATGATGATTGACCTTTATTGCGATTGTTCTGCTACGATCCAAGATTTATATCAAGCCATGGTAATGAATCCATCAAGTCCTTTCCGTTGTACCAGTGATTTACAACACGGTGTCCTTGTTCATTACCAAGAGCCGGGACGATTTGGTTTTCCCAATCCACTCTCCCCACTCTCCCCATCAACACCAGCAGTACCAGGCTCCTATTCACCTTTTCAACCCCCCGCCATGGGCAATCCATTACCTCTTTTCAAAGGCATGACATGATTAAAAACACACCTATTAGCGCTTCCTTCTTTTTACACACAATACATAAATCAGTCATTCACATTAAAGAATCTATGGGAGGCGTAAAAAAAGTGATCTGCGTAAACAATCATGCAGGGAGGGGGGGATGTATAAATAGCCATACGGAAGATAACAACATGTAGTAAGTAGTTACACTTGAAGAGGGGGATGATGATGCCAATCATAATGGTCTACGGGATCACGGGCCGAATGCGTCGGAACTCTTAAAGGGGACCTGGTCGAGTTACGCAAAAAGTAGGTGTTGTTGCTCTTGAACCCTGTTATCAAAACCAAAGCCACCAGTCAACGTTGCTTCCCTCTCCTTTTATTTCTCTTTTACATCAATGATAACGGCTATTATCCGAGGTGCAGCACGGTCTACTATTGCCAGGTCAGCCCATGTCCGCCTAAGAACACCATTGCGCCATTACAGCAAAGCGGCCACCGAGCCCAAGCAGCAGGAAGCTAGCGACATTTCTCCGTTGGGCAAGATTGCCGAGGGATTGAACGCGATCCGATCGACTATTATACCATCTTCTAGTGCGGCCACCGAACCACATGCACCGTTTACGGGTGAAGCAGCGACATGGAACCAAGCGATACGTGAAGCACAAAGCCTTGTAGAAGAGGAACAACAACACCTAGCAACCAAAGTACGATCATCATCCTCCAATACACCTTTGATTGATCCAGCCAAACTGGTGGGACGTGACCTATGGGACTTGAAAGGCAATATTGCAAAGCTACTTGGAAGTGGTCATCCTTTTCTCAACACGGTTGCCAAGCACTATTTCAATGCGGATGGTAAACACGTTCGTCCATTGTTGGTGTTATTGATCGCCCAAGCAACGAGCATTGCTCCTAAAAAGCCAACCTTATCTTCTTCCTCAACAACTCAGCAGCAGCAACAACAACAACAGCCGATCGATTATCAATCCATCGACACGCCCATTTCCCATGGTCTAAAGAATATTACTACGAGTGATGTATTTGATCACGCCACTCATTACACGCCTTCTGTCACGCATCAAGGATGCACGATCCTTCCTACGCAGCGACGTTTAGCAGAGATTACAGAGATGATTCATACGGCTTCGCTTTTGCATGATGATGTGATTGATGCCTCCGAGACCCGTCGCAACTTGCCTTCTGCCAATGCCAGTTTTGGTAACAAGATGGCTGTGCTCGGTGGTGATTTCCTTCTTGCTCGCGCTTCCATTGCCTTGGCTCGCTTACGTAACGCTGAATGCACTGAATTGATGTCCACTTGCATTGCCAATTTGGTTGAAGGCGAATTCATGCAGCTTAAAAACACACGGGGTGAGAATGGCGTTCGCACCAAATCCACGTTTGATTACTATATTGAAAAGACTTACATGAAGACTGGCAGTTTGATTGCACAAAGTTGTAAATCATCCGCTGTATTGGGTGGATCTACCAAGGAAGTCGCCGATATCGCCTTTGAATTTGGTCGTAATTTGGGTATTGCTTTCCAGGTAAAAACACTTCAGCATATGGAAGACAACATAGATACTCACTCACTCTTGTTGTGTATAGCTCGTGGATGACATGCTTGACTTTACAGTGACAGCCGCTGATCTTGGTAAGCCTGCTGGTGCCGATCTTAAGCTTGGTTTGGCCACTGCCCCTGTACTCTTTGCATGCGAAGAGTTCCCTGAATTGGAGCCATTGATCAAACGCAAGTTTGCAGAGGAAGGCGATGTTGATAAGGTATGTATAAAAAGATAAAGAGGCGATTCATGTGGACTCACACACATATGCACATTAGGCACGACTTCTTGTATACCAAAGTGATGGATTGAAAAAGACACTTTCCTTGGCTGAGGAACATTGCAGCACAGCCATTTCCTTGATTTCGCAATTGCCACCTTCAGACGCACGTTCTGCATTGATTCAATTGACTGAAAAGCTCCTCACTAGACGCCATTAACTAACACACACACACACACACACGCACCATTTTGCATAGAACAACAACAACACCATCATACCGCAACATCCTCCACGCCCGCTCTCTATATATACAAACCCACATTTACATCACGCACATAGCTCCCCATCACATCCTGTTCACATAGAAAAAGGAAACAAAAAAAGATCGAATAATACATCCATTCCCATCTCCATCATTTCGAAATATAATTTATATCGCATAATTGACTCTAATGGGACCATCAAGGGTATCCTAGGATTGTTGGCGCAGTTTGACATGGTGGTTGAAAATGGGCGGGCTTTGTTATTGACAACTAGCTGCTTGGCTCTTTTCCCCTTGTGTGTCTCTTTAACTACTCGACCATGTCCTTGCGTTTCGCCAATCGATGGATCAGCCGATCCACACGTTTATTCTCGACAACCGCTACTTCACGATTGGAAAATGTCGATCCTTCCAAAGCTGAGGTGGCTGCCAAATGTAGGGCATCGCGATCGCTTTCTTTTCTTCGCCACCAAATGTGAAATGCTGACGTTGAGTTTTTGGGTAGTGGCTGAACGCACCATGAAACGCTTCTGGAAGCATGCTTGGGTCAAGGAGGAAGCTGGCAAGTTTGATTGTGTGTGGAACAATGAATATCCCCTTCTCCTTACATTTTAGCTGAATAGATGGTTGCACTGTGATGCTCGATAAACGCAATTTACGTACACCTAATGGCCGTCATATCGTCAAGTTTACATCTGCACAACGACCCTTGGCTTATTTGACAGCTGCTGAATGGGAAGCACAGACCGAATCGCTTAAATCACATTCTTTGCCTTTGGTAAGTTGTTGTTGTTGGGTATAGAAGTAGTCGTCGTCGTAGTGGATGATTAACTCTTATAAAGACATCGATCATTGCACGTGCCTTTGATGCATTGGACCCTACCCGAGCTGAAGATCCTCGTGTGCGTGATCAAGTGATTGACAAGCTGATGACCTATTTTGACACCGATGCCACATGCTACCATGAAGATTATCCCGAGGTGCTCACTCAGCTGCAGGAACAGCATTGGAAGCCATTGATTGCATGGGCCAGTGAAAACTATGGTGTCCAAATCAATACCACAACCGGCATTTTCGCTGTTGGTCAACCTGCCGAGACACGTGAAAAGTTGCGAGCTGTTGTTGATCAAATGTGTCCTTTGGAATTGGCTGCTTTTGAAAGAGCTGTCATGAGCTCCAAGAGCTTTTTGATTGGTTTGGCCCTTGTCAAGAACGCATTGACCGTTGAACAAGCTGCTCAAGCGGCTCATGTTGAAATGAATGCTCAAATTGATCGATGGGGAGAAGTCGAAGACAGTATGTATTTATTGGAAGGGTGATATACAAATGAAAAAACTCAACAATGATATGTAGGTCATGATGTGGAACGTGAATACATTCGACAAACCTTGGGATCGGTGGCAGCCGTTGTCATGGATAAGCATTAGATTTTTTCTTTTCACTTGCATAAAAGACCAATGACATCCGACATGGAAATGACCCCAATGACTTTTTGAGATTGCTCATCCTGCTTGATCCATACACGATGCGTATCTTGCGTAATCATAATATCAATCACTTCCTTCAACGTAGTCTCCGGCGTAGCCACAGGCAAGGCAATTGTATCCATATGATACTATAAAAGGAGCAATGAGTTATCAATGTGGATGGGTGAAGAGAATACGCACCTTGACATATTCTATACATGGAAGTGTAAGCTTGTCAAACGTATCGAGATTCGCACCTGGCAAGTCTTCGAGGCATAAATCACCCACAAGGTTTCCATTCCTAGACCCATCATCCATGAGCCAACGACGTCCTCCTCCTTCTGATCTTGCTTACTGCTACTTACTCATCGACAATGGGGACGCCACTGAGTCGCTTTTCAGCAATCAATCTGTAGCCTGAAAGTGCTGTTTGTGAAGCTGAAACGCTAACCAGGGGTGGCTTTTTGTCAAAGCCAAGGGATCCCACTGTGGCATTGATATCGACTAATCCTTCGGTGCTCTCTGGATGCTTACGAATGTGTTGCATAATGTCGGTTTGTGAAAGAAGCCACGTGCCTTCGTTGTTGGCTTTTGCATAATCCACAACGAGAGAACGATGAATGCCTGAAGCAAACGCGCGTAAAGTCTAAAAAGAGCCCATGTTAGAATCACCCTTCCTCTTTTCTTATACAATGACAATAAACCCAAGACTTGCCTCGAGCAAAGTATCTTGACTATCCGTTTTATGCATGCGATAGCTCTCACGGTCTGAGTCTAGGCCAAGCACGTATTCCACTGGATCATTCAACTTGGATGCGGTATTGTCCACGGTGGTGTCCGAGCGACCCATCAAATACAAAAGGATATCAAACAAATTCACAATGCTGACGACTTGTGTGCTATTGTGAGAAAAAACAGGCAAGGACGTGATCTTGTTATTCTGGAGCAGGTTTAAAGCCGTTTGAATAGAGACAATGGGGCTAACAGCAATCAAGGATGGCTTGCTATGAGCAAGCGTCAAATCATCCGCTTTCAACTGGGTAATATTCGGCATGAGGGGGGATATACAAAAAAAAATGTGGGAGGGAGGAAACAAAAAGAAAGAAAGAAAAAGAACAAGGGTTGTTGGGTGATGGGTAAGTGTCGTCTGTTTATGTATACAAAGCACTGCTCACACCCACACGCAACACGCATGCATCGCCCGTTTCGGACCGGCTTCTCCGCTTATACGGGTACACTGTACTACTCGAAAAGACACGGATTATCATGCCACAATTGACACTTTTAATGTTTCCTTAACCGAGCCAGAAAAAAACCACTAGTTTGACTAATTAAAGGATCAAATCTTAAACAATGTTGTTCCATCGCCTGTTGAATGTCCTCCTCAATGCCTTCCACCTTTTTGATATTGGCCAATTTGATACCAGCATTGTCCGCGTCTTCCAATACAGCGTCCGGATGATGTTTCAAAAACCACGCAACATTGGCTTCATTTTGTTGGACTGTGAGAGAGCAAGTACTGTACACCATAATCCCATTCTGCTTGAGCATCTTCCATCCTTGTTTCATCAAATTTCGCTATAAGCCAAGGTGAGTTATCGATGTCCCTTACAGGCCATATCCCTCCCAAATGTACGTACCTGTAGCTCGCATACGGTCGATAATCGATCTGGATTCATAAAGTTGCGTTCAAATGCATCCCATCCCCATTTCTCGTACTACAATATGTGAGTGTGAGTGAATGTGAGTGCCATGAACACCCCCTATCATGCTTACCTTGAGGATATGGCTGATGGATCCATCATGGGTGCATTCTGCATCCACCAATACTTTATCATACAAGGCTGTGGATGTTTGTGGATCGAAGCGTAGCATCTTGGGAGCCCAATAGGGCCTGCGGTGATTGGCATGAAGCGTATGTTTCTGTTGTCGTTCCTTGGGTGCGAGGGGTGGTGGGATTGCAAATGTTGTACCATCCGCTTCAAAGAGACGAACGTGTGAGCCGACCTTGTACTTTTTCAACAATGAGCGACAAGTAGCCAAACGATGAGCGGCACAATCGACACCTGTAGCACTACCGGAAGCCTCGATCCGATTGGCAATCATGCATAACTTGGCACCCGGCGCACAACACATGTCAAGGACTTGATCATTGGCTTGCAAGTCAAGCGCTTCTACGGCCATGGCTGAACTAAGATCAATCCCAAATAGACTTCGATTCTTGTATCTTAAAAAAAGTATGTGTGTGAGTGAGCATGAAATAACACAACCTCTTGACATGAATAGAATACACGTACGCTGCAATATCGACCAGTCGATGCTTGGCATGCAAGAATCCAAAGATACCATCCTTCACTTGCCATACATCATCCGTGCCAAGTTGTTCTTTCAAGTCGTCCAAGGAAGGTAAAGCAATGGCATTCGTATTGAGACGTACATAGCGGGGAAGATCGCTGACAGTGTATATGCGTGGATCGATCGCATTGTCGTCAAGGAATTGTTGAAAGGATGCAGGAAGGCGATCGAGATCGAATTGCTTTGTAATGGCTGCTGCTGCTGCTACCGTGGAATCATCGTCATTTGCTACAAACGGGTCCTGCTCGTCGTGCATACGGGGAAGAAAAGGTAACTAGGATTTCCTTGTTGCCAGGTTTCTAATCCCCCCCCACCACCACCCACCACCACCTCACACACCCAGCCCACCATGGCTTATTTGTATGACCCTTTTCGATCTATGGCATTCAATAAAATACGCTCTTATTGAGCACAATAAGTGATGGTTCATATTTCATAATGCTTACAACAGCTTTTATATTCACTTTTTCATATGATGATCTACATTTCGATCCCTTCATCAAAGACGTGCATCGTTCAAAGAATCCAGTACATGGTTTTTGTGGCCTAAATGGATCGCTACCATAGTAAGATTCTATCAAAAAGTCGACTCTCCTTTGACAACCACTTGCATTGGGTTCACAAAATCTGTGACAGTGTTTTCCTTGGATACCCAACCTAGTTTTTCCATGGCTTGGTATTCCTCCTCTCCCACTTCATCCATCCCATAGACCGCGTAGCAGCATCATAAACCACGATGGCTATCATAGCAACAGTGCCATGTTGTCCAAATAGCAAGGTAGCTTCTCATTTTCTTTTTCAATTATTGCAAGTGGTAGCTATATCCAAGGCATGAAACCAAAAAGCATATGAGGAGACGCTCCCGGTGATTAATTTGGATGTAGTTTCGTATTCCCCCCTCTTCGTGAATAAGGAAGAACCGCTTTACTGACACGAGTCAATCAGCAAGATCGGCGGTAGCAGGGTTGAATAAAAAGAAAAACAACAAAACTGGACCGCTGATGGATTTTTATAGCCGTAAATTTGGCGGAGATGATGATGATGAGGGCGGCTTGTCCAGTAAAGTTGAGACCTAAACTCTATATCACATGCATGTATGCATTTGGATGCCATTCCCCCTTCTTGATGCCCATTGACCAACTTTACTTGTCAGCAAGGTATCCTAAAACGATCCTTCTCATTGCTTCTTTTTCATGTCTCATTATATGCTTTTGCTACCATCCTATCTTTATACTCTACATTCTCCGCTTTAAATAAGACAATGTCCCCTCCTTCTCATTTCTTTATCCTCAACGATATCATATCATGCCTTTTATTTATAGAGCTGCATCTGCAGTACGAGGGATGAATCGCACCTTGTATGATTGAGGAAGCACAATGAGACCTCCACTGACACGCGAATGGATATCGGGATACACAGGCTTGCCAGCGGCATCCAATGATGGCTCAATGGTGTACTTGGATAAAAGGCGTACCATTGCCACAAACATCTCGACTTCAGACTACATAATATGAAAAGCAAGTGAGTCATTTCTATTAATGATTCCCGGACTTGTTCAATGACGTTACCAGATAGATACCAGGGCACACACGTCTATAGAGAGGGAAGTGTATCAGCTATGTACATCATCATACGCCATTTTCCTCTTCTTCTTACCGGCCCCATCCAAAATTGAAATGATCTCGGTTTTCAAGACGTCCATTGGCTGATGTTGTCATGGTAGAAGTGTTTTCAATAAACCTTTCAGGAATAAACTTTTCTGGCTCTGAGAACACATTGGGGTTATGATGCATGCCCAGCATGTTGGGAAATACAGGCGTTCCTTTGGGGATCAAGTAACCCTGGCATTCGACTACATGTATAATGTCAATCACAGCAGCGGACGTTGTTGTTGTCATGGCAACGTACCATCTTCTTCTACCACATGTGACATGCCAAATACGGATGGTGATCGAAAACGCATCCCTTCCTTTTGCACAGAGATAAGATAGGGCAACTCACGACGCTCGGCAAAGGATGGGAGTCTACCATGGTCTTGAACAAAGATATCAATTTCAGCTTGGATCCGTTTTTGTACTTCGGGATGATGAGCAAGGATAGCAAAGAGCCATACGAGTGAAACAGAGGTCGTATCTGTACCAGCAATAATCATATCACCTATGTATAATGTATGTAAATCATCATGATTGCTTCAACAACAAGAGCATCCAACAAGCTCATTACACTTACTCATGGTGACAACGACATCCCTATCGTCTAATTCATGCTCCTCCAAAATGTTGTAAAAATGGCGAACAAAGCAATCCTTTTTCGAATCGAGGGCTTGCTTGATCAACCGCTCAAAGATAGCATTTCGCTTTTCAAGCAATGCAAGTTGCACTTTGCGTTTCTTTGTGCGTTGTCCAAACTTGTCGAAAAACTTGAGAATGGGCAAAAATTCGGTCACATCACCCTGTAACCCACCCACGGCGAGCGACTCGTCAACGTAATTGGCAATTTCTTGAAACAATGGATCATCCACGGATGTGGCACGTACACCAAAGCATGTCAACAATACGGCATTCATGGTCATCACTTGAAGTGCCTGACGAGGATCGATGCCATTGGGATCAGCGGCAAGTCGCTCAATGAGATAGTCGGCTTCCTTTTCGAGCATCGGCATAAACTTGTCAACCATGGGTGGTGCCAGCACCGAAACCACTGGATGCAAAACAATGAATGTTAAGATTCAAAAGAAAAGAGAGAGCACGATCTTAATGGTATGTAATACCTGCTTTACGTGTATTCCTCCAACTTTTGCCTGTAGGTGCAAAGACCAATCCCCTATAGAGAATCATCGTAAGCAATATCTCTCTCTACTACTTGGACACGATTACTCACTTTCCACCCATTGCATAATACTCGTATACGAATGCATTAACGGGTCGGCTTGAAGCGACGGCTCCTTTGATGCAAAACAAGTCGTATGCAAACACAGGATCTGGATACCATCGTACGTAGTAGAGTGAGCCACGTTGATTTGCCTTGTAATGAAATAATAAAGCTTACCACTGACGACGATCCATTTCATCACGCCCAATCGGACCTGCATTACAGGACCTGCATATACACACAACACACACGCATGTGACAAGTACATGTGAGTAACATCGCGCGTGCATCACCTATTTCCTATTCACACACATACCCACTTGTTCTTGCCATTCAGTAAACTTTGCGCCTACATCATCTCCAATAGAGAGCAAGTGTCCTATTATGTATGTGTAACATGTTTCGCGTAAGAATGTACACCGCGCGAGTGGGGTCGATGATACTAACCGAGATAAGGGTAAGCACCCTTGGGTTCAGGGATCTTTTTGAGTCCTGCGTACTTTTTACGGCTGCTGCTGCTGCTTGTTAATTGGCGTAAGATGTAATAGGTGCCTGCACAAGCCGTAATGCCAGCCACTGCTTTGAGGGCCGTATCCATGGTAAGGATACGATCATGACGACTGCTGCTGGCACTGATCCAAGAAGACAGGCTACTGAAAAGTGGCATCAAAGTGTAAGGTGGGTGGGGGGGGAAAGGTGAATAAACGAAACGAAGAAGGGCGGCTATATATACCACCACCACCACCCGCTTATTTAAGTTGGAAGGCAACACAGATATTTAAATACGATGTTGCGATGCACCGACAACAAAACATTCCTTCCATGTACGTCACCTTGCATTTTTTCCCTTGTGAGATTTGTAATACAGCATGATCAAACCACGACATGGTGGATCTTAGAACTAATAGTCCAACAACAACCCTATACAAAGATGTGAATGAGAAGCCCCATGTTGAACTATGTTACACCACAACCGGCAAAGATATGCACAAAGTCCTCGGACGTGTCACAAGCTACTGTCATATTCGTTACTGCTACTATTCTTCACGATTCCCGATCTTCCATTGGCGGTAGGACCTCCACCCTATCCCTCTGTGTTGCGTCACGAAAAAAGTGAAGGTAAGAAAGGATGATCCCCATATTGAGCACTTTATCACAGCCAACAATCCATATCACAAGCAATAATGAGACGAGAGAGTATAGCAGCAAAAGGATGTATATATTTGAATCAATGTTGGTATACTACTGCAAAGGTGAGGTGAGGTTGATTATAATGCCCATGGTTCGGTTGACCGCGTGTTGCGTGTAAATGATCGTTGTGTGCTGTGGATCACGTGAATTACAGAACACCACCTCGGCTGTAGCCGTCTTCATGTGATTAGCTAATATCGAAAAGTGTGCGCGTACCTTGATCCATATGAAAAGCGAGGGTTGTATGTTAGATGCTTGATGATGGATGTCATCCCCGCTGATCGGGTTGTCGTTGCCTGTTGACCATCTTCTTCTTCAACACATCTTTCTCGTAAGTCGTTGGCAGTTGAACAAGGACCCGAATTGGTGAACTGAGTCATCCATCAATTAAGGTCGTCGTTGCTGTTGTTCATTCGATACCCCCATCGGACATGCAAAGAGACGTTGAATGTTGCTGATCGGTTCCTTAATGTGAGTTTCGCATGCTACTCTTACAGCATTCACTGTACGTGTACTCAATTCCTAACCTTTATCCTTTAGAAATGGCTCCATTGTGTGGCTAAGGATTGGATTGAGAACGCCATTGCGCCTTGATGTCGAAGAAGAGAGGAAGCAAGAAGAACGTCCTTGACAGGAGCAATACTACGCATGAACGCATCATCCGTGCCTATTTTTCAGGCAGCGACAGCACTCACTCTGCTTGCATGAACAACAGCCGAGACAACGGGGATCCACTTTACATGATAGCCACCCCAATATGGAAATGTCGGACGCTTTTGGATGTTTTCAACAGAACAATGATGATGATGATGATCGTAACTGCGCCATGGTGGGAAAAATGAAGCGGGACAAAGGATGGTTTCACGACGCGCGCGCGCGATCATGATAAGAGCGATTGACGAGAGGACGCTTTTCGACCCTGCTTGCTCTCTTTTTCACACACAAGATGCCTTCCTTATCTCGTTTATACAAGACAGCATCCGCAGCTGCATTGATACTTGCAGCAACAACTACCAGTGCTGCTGAATCAGCCTCCTTCTTTCAACAATCCGTCCATGGTTTGAGCAACATTTGGCACCATGGTCAGCAAGCGATTATCGGCCAAAGTGTATCTCATCATGATTGTGGCAGCTCCAACATCGACCATCATCATGACATGGATACCGGATTGCCATGGCAACAATCGCCCGAAGAGGAACAACAACGTCAAGATGGCTTTTTAAAGTCATTTTCACATCCTGCTTTTCCAGAATATTCAATGCGTTACAAGACACCTGAGATCTGTGATCCTAGTGTGAAGCAGGTGGGTTGAGAGGGATTATGAACATACACCGAGGATCGGCTTTACTCATGGTCAATGTTTTCCCGGAGAATAGATCAGCGGCTATCTTGACATTGAATCCGACAAACACTTTTTCTTTTGGTTCTTCGAATCACGCAACAACCCACAAGAAGATCCCCTTGTGTTATGGCTCAATGGCGGCCCTGGATGCTCATCCATGTTGGGTCTTCTTACTGAATTGGGGTATGTGCTGTGCTACCATGGATGTAGCGTACTATGCTAACATATCATTTATCATCAAGACCATGCCGAGTAAATGAAGATGGAAGTGGTACGACTTTGAATGAATACTCGTGGAATAACAATGCAAGCGTCATCTTCTTGGATCAGGTAAATTTGCCTTTGCACAATCCCATTTATGCATTTGACATTAATCATCATGCGTTGTTTTGTAGCCATTGAATGTAGGATACTCTTATGGCAAGGGCGGCCCACTCGATTCAGTCACTGCAGCCAAGGATGTCTACGCTTTGCTTCAATTGTTCTTTAAGGAGTTCCCTCAATACGCTGATCTTGATTTCCACGTTGCTGGTGAATCATGTGAGTGCCTTACAACAAGCGTCTATCAAATCACATGACCACTTACCGTTCTTCTTTTAAAAAGATGGTGGCCATTATGTTCCTGCCATTGGTGGCGTGCTCAACCGCAACAACAAGGCCAAGCTTGGCGCCTCATCTTCTGAATTGAGCGCATGGACATCCACCCTTTCTACGATCAACCTAAAGTCACTTTTGGTGGGCAATGGCTTGACAAATCCACTCATCCAATACCAGTATTACTCAAAGTACGCATGTGGAAACTCTTATGGACCTGCATTGGATCAAGAAGTATGCGACAAGATGGATGACAAGTATCCAGCATGCGCCAAGCTTATTGAAGATTGCTACGCCTCACAAAACGTGCTTGCTTGTATGCCAGCTGTCATCAAATGCAACCATGACATGATCGAGCCATACCAGAAGAGTGGCAAGAATCCTTATGATGTCCGCAAAGATTGTGTAAACAGCAATTTGTGCTACGATATCATCGAAGGCATGGAGACCTACTTGAACCGCCCTGATGTCATGTCGGCTATTGGTGCACAAGTGCAAAAGTACACAAACTGCAATGATGGTTTCGGCAGCCAATTCAGCGTACGTGTTTGTTGTTGCATATGGAACGTACGTATTCCTCATCCCTCTATTTTAGGCACATGATTGGATGCGTCCCTATGTTGATGAAATTGCACCCCTCTTGGAAGATGGAATCCGTATTCTTATTTACGCTGGTGACGCTGACTTTATCTGCAATTGGATGGGCAACAAGGCTTGGGTCATTGAGTTGCCTTGGAGTGGCCACGAGGAATTTGCAGCTGCCGAGGATACGCCATGGTTCTCAACTACTGCAAACGAGCAAGGTGGTGAGCTTCGTCGTACAAAGGATGGTCGATTTGCCTTTTTGCGTGTCTTTGATTCAGGCCATATGGTGCCCATGGATCGTGGTGATTATGCCATTGACATGCTAAACAACTGGTTGCACGAAGAGCTTGTTTAAACGTCCTGCCTATGTATCATTGCTGGCTATTTTGTACGTCCTTTTGTGTAATAAATATCATCTATTGGTGGAATAGCTGTCGTAATCTTGTGATGGCCCGTGCTCCTTTGCTTGTTATGCTAATCGAACCCAACCACAAAATGGCTGAGTGTGATGTTGGATGGTATCCATGATAACCCCAATGCAGCAACATTATCCATTTGTCCCGCACATACGTATAGAATTGTGTCTACAAATGCATGCATTGCGAATACAAACGTTTACGGCAGCACAGCAACCATGTCACAACGATGCAGCTGACATGATGGTTCAGATCGCGTCTGCAACAACTGCGGCATCAGGTGGACTTATCTTTAGTTCTCATAGTATGATTGATAAAGCATAGATTTGGTGATGTCCAAAGTGCATTTGAACCTTTCTAAGATCCACTGTGGATACATACAAACACGTAGGGATGCATATCCACAAGGAACGCACCACATGTATGTTCAAAAAAGGGAGCATTTTACCAGCCTTTATTATTGTTAATAATCGACTATGAAAAACATGTTGATTCTAATGACATATCAATAACATGATTTTTATCCGAACCTCTCCAAGACAGGCCATTTTCGACATTAGGGGCAGACAAGCTACATATCATGCAAATGTATGAGTGTCATGCAACTCTGGAATTACCCTGGAAACGTGCATATCGCTTTCTCTTTAGAAATTTGATACTTTACAAGATCCTTTATATTCCGGTTAGCCGTCTCTGCTTTTATAATGGTGCATGTTGCATACACTGCAGCACGTTCGAAAAAACCCACCTTGCAATCAGCATGACAAAGTTACAGGCACGCCAAGCAACCACCATACAAACAAAAGTGTCGTGCCTCTCTAGACCAACAGTGGACTTGAAGGAGCATACATATTGTCGCTTTCAAAGATAGAGTTTCGAAACGTACATTTTGTACATCCGTTAATGGTGGCTCGTGCTACTAGGCCTGCAGCATCATGCATATCAATGTATTAAGTAATCCCTGGTCGTAAAGTAGGGGTATCGTTCAATTGGCACCTGCTCGCCTCCTAGTAAACAAGGAAAATACCAGTTCTGCGCTTTGAAAAACATGTATTGTAAAGCGTTAGTAGAGACCAACATGGGAGAAAAAAGGATGTTAATCTGCATCGATTCAGGCAGCTTGTGACTGAAGAAAAAAGGTATATAAGATCGTATCAAAACACTTCATCATGGCCATCATCAATCCAAGCACCAGTAGTTGATTCCAAATCATGAAGTTGAACCTGAACCTCTTGCTCAGTATCTCGCTCTTGTTTGTTCTTTCAATCCATGCGGTGGATGCCGCTTCTGAATTTCTGGCGCCAGTAGCCCAAAAGCATTTAGACACATATTGTAAACACCTCGGCAACTCATGCTCGTCATTTGAAGATTGCGAGTATAAGTGTAAGTACTTCACTTTGTATCTAAGTAGCTGAGCACTAAAATGTCACCTGCTTCCTAGTTACTCAAAGCCGTTGCTGTTACCAAGGATCCTGCTATCGGGCATCATCGATGACAACTTCCTCCTGGGCGGATGTATGCAAAATAGAGAACATGGACAGCAATTGTAAATAGGTTTATCATCGTTGTCATTAACAAAAAGTGCCATGGTGGCAATAAAACTTCGATTTACTATGAGCTATACGAGTCGTTTCAGAGGCATAATGAAGATGACTTGTCACAGTATTGATAGCATAGGGTGTCTGTAACAAAGATGGCCAATGACCTAAATAAGTGGCATGTATGCCAATCGCTTTGATTTAGTTACTTAGTCTGGCATGGTCAGCCCGCTGCCATGTTCTACGTAGCAAAGCTTATCGCACACCTGCTTATGAATAAACTAAACTAGTTTAATGATTTCAATAAAAGAGCAACTATTAAGAGCCAAAGGTGTCCCTACAGTAATACTATGAATGTGTAGAGGGAGAATAGGAATCTAATATCCACGAGGGGGGTTGGGCTATGGCTGTTGCATTGATCTTCCACATGCACATGACTCCTCCCACACACGCCAAGCTCTTTTCCCTTCTCTTGTTACGCTTGAACAACAGCCAATCGTCGTCAGTCGAGTACATCATGCTTCACCAGAGACGAGCACCGATTCAACACGCCAACTTGAAGAACCCACCGTGACAAAGCGTGTTTACATGAGCGACCGAACATCAGCATTAGCGGCATGCGGCAAGTTCGAAGCAGCATTGAGAATCGCCCATTTTGTACAGAAAGCGCTCCCTTCGTCTGGAATGGGTTACTTGTGTGAAGGTCACGTGCATCAAATACAAGGACGATATGAAGCTTGCATGGACAGTTGTGATTGAGGATTTTCGGCTGTACCATCATCTGATTCTTACTATCAGCAACTTGTGCATGTGCGATCCATGGCAATTCCATCGAGCCCAGTTATCATCACTGCAATCTGCCATTGTATGAGTAAGTAGACGCGTGATTGCTTTATCCAATAACAACTAAAAATGATGACATAGAGTACTCCCTCTAGTATCTGTGCGATCAACGCTTACACATTTGGAGATTCACTTTCGGGATGATGATGAGGAGTTGCCATATTCCATTGACTCTTGATATCACTACGATGCTACGGTGCCCTCAACGACATCACTGATATTTCTATGACGATGACTTATCCGCATTTGAAGGAGCTGGAGCTTTGACAACAACTTGGAATCACATCAACTTGACAGCTTGACACAACGACTAGTACCAGACTTGGAGCAGCCATCACATGGTCGAGCCATATCAGAAAGCGGCAAGAATCCTTATGAGCGCAACATGGAAACCTACTTGAACGTCCCTGACGTCATGTCGCATATGGGTGCAATGATGGACTCGGCAGCCAATTCAGCGTACGTATTTGTTGCTGCGTTTGGGTATGGAAACGCGTATCTCTAATCCCTCTATTTTAGGCACATGATTGGATGCGTCCTTATGTTGATGAAATTGCACCCCTCTTGGAAGATGGAATCCGCATTCTTATTTACGCTGGTGACGCTGATTTTACCTGCAATTGGATGGGCAACAAGGCTTGGGTCATTGGATTGCCTTGGAGTGGTCACGAGGAATTTGCAGCTGCCGAGGATACGCCATGGTTCTCTACCACTGCAAATGAGCAAGGTGGTGAGCTTCGTCGTACAAAAGGATGGACGATTTGCCTTTTTGCGTGTCATTGATTCAGGTCATGTGGTGCCCATGGATCGTGGTGATTATGCCATTGACATGCTAAACAACTGGCTGCACGAAGAGCTTGTTTAAACGTCCTGACCATGTAGCATTGCTGATTCGTACGTCCTTTCTATAATAAATTTCATCTATTGGTGGAATAACTCTCGTAATTTGTAATGCCCCGTACTACTTTGCTCGTTATGCCAATCACACCTCGACCACGAAAGGATTGAACGCCATGTTGGATGGTATCCATGGCAACCGCAATACTGTAACAAAGTTGTGCATTTGCCTCAACACACGTACGTGTAGTATTGAGTCTACAAAGCAAGCATTGCGAATACAAAGATTTACAGCAGCACAACATCCATGTCACAAAGATGCAGCTGACATGATGGTCCAGATAGCGTTAGCAATAACGTGAAATCAGGTGGACTTGTGTTTGGTTCTCTTAAAATGATTGATCAGGATGGATTTGGTGATGTGCAAAGTGCATTTGAACCTTTCTAAGACCCAACTGTGGATGTTGCCGTATATTTGTTGATTCATTCATGTAGGGATGCATATCCACAAAGGAACGCATCATATGTATACTTAAATGAAGTGTGAGCCTTTTGCCAGCCGTTATGATTGTTATGTAATGGACTATTAAAAACATGTTGATTCCAATGTCATCTATATGACGTGATCTTCTATTCGAACCTCTCACAAGATAGGCCATTTTCAACATTAGGCTGGTAAGCTGAATATTATGCAAATGCATGGGTATGATGCAAACTCTGGAATTGCCCTGGAAACGTGCATATCACTTTATTGAAAGTTGGTACTTTGCATGGCTTTCTATGTTACAGTTAGTCACCTTTGTTTTTATAGTGGTGCACGTTGCATACCTTGTACCGCGTTTGAAAGAACCTACCTTGCAATCAGCAAGATAAAGTTACAGACACGCCGAGCGACCACCGCCACTTTAACAAAAGACCGGTCGTGCCTCTCTGGATCAGCAGTAGAGCTGTAGGAACATACACATTGTCGCTTTCAAAGATAGAGTTTCCAAACGTACGTTTGTATATTCGTTCAAGGGTGATTCTTGACCCCACCACCTGTAGCATTATGCATGACAATGTAGTAAGTGATCCCTGGTCGCAAAGTAGGAGTATCGTTCAAATGTCATCTTCTCACCTCCTAGCAAACCAGGAAATAACAATTCTGCACTTTGAACAACATGTATTGTAAAGTGTTAGTAAATTGTTAGTAAAGACCAACATGGAAAAAAGGATGTTCTTGTGAATCGCTTCACGCGTTTCGTGACTGACGAAAAAAGGTATATAAGAAGGTATCAAGATACTTCATCATAGCCTCCATCAACTCAATCGCCCGTATTTGGTTCCACAACATGAAGCTGAAGCTGAACCTCTTGCTCAAGAGTTCGCTTGTGTTTGTTCTTTCGATCCATACGGTGGAGACCGCCGTCTATGGCGTATATGGTACAGTAGAGCGAGAGATGACCAAAACTTGTATGCGCCTTGAAACCTCATGCTCGACATATGAAGATTGCGGGTATCGCTGTAAGTATTTCATTTTATATCTAAGTAGCTGAGCACTAAAAATGGCACTTGTTTCCTAGCTGGTGAAGGCCGTTGCTGTTACCAAGGATCATGCTATGCGGCAGTGTCGTTTTCATTTTCCTCTTGGGAGTCTTCATGTGGAATCGAGAACATGGACAGCAACTGCGAAATAGGTTTATCGTCATAGCCATGTTGTTGTCATTAACAAATAGTGCCATGGTGGCAATAAAGTTTCGATTTACTATGAGCTATGCGAGTCGTTTGAGAGCATCATGAAGATGCCATATCACAATATTGGGAGCATAGGGTACTTGTAACATGATGATGATCAACGAGCTTTGTATCGTGGCACATTCGTCGCATGTCGTCGCATTGATTTGATTTAGTTAGTCTGGCTTGATCAGCCCCGCTGAGGCTATGTTCCCACATGGCAATGCTTAATATTGCACTTCGACATTATCCCCATCACCAGCTGATGAATAAAACAAAATCATGGTTTAATGATATAAAAAGAGTGACTATTAAATGCTAAAGGTGTCGCTACAGTAACAAGATGAAGAGGCATTTAATATCCACAAGGTCGGACCACGGGTGTTGTACCAGCTCTTTCTTCCGCATGCATATAGCTCCTCTACTCACACCAAGCCCTGTGGGTATCTTACTGTCTCCCTTCTCTTGTTATGCTTGTACTGCCAATCGTCATCACTCAACCAGAGACGAGCACCGATTCAACACGCCATCTTGAAGAACCCATCAGGAAACTAGTTGTTTACATACACGATCAAGCAGCACCATTAGCAGCATGCGGCAAGTTCGAAGAAGCTTTGCGCATCGCCCACTTTGTACAGAAAGCGGCTCCTTCGTCTGGAATGGGTTACTTGTGTGAAGGTCACGTGCATCAAATACAAGGACGATATGAAGCCTGCATGGACATTTGTGATCGAGGACTTTCGGCTGTACCATCATCTGATTCTTACTATCAGCAACTTGTGCATATGCGATCCATGGCAGCAAAGTACAACACTTTGAAGGTTGATTTTATGAAAGAACTTCCTTTGGAAATCATCGAGACCATTGTCCACAAGCTGTTGGCTGGCGTGAAAGTTCGCCCAAAGCAGCTCTGCGAGTATCTTTCCATTTCTCGTCTTTGGCAACAAAGGATCTTGGAGTATGCACGTGATTTACATGTTGTCAGTTCTGGATTTTACCGCTTTGAAGAATATGTCTTGAAACAATCAGCACCGCGTATTACAGCATTGACGCTCCAATATGAAGCCGCTCCTTATCAGCTATTCCATCGTACCCAGTTTCCATCACTGCAATCTCTGACATTGCACGAGTAAGTAGATCCCCTGATTGCTTTATCCAATAACAACTAAAAATGATGACATAGAGTGACATCTGATCATCCTCACCAGCAGGCTGCTGTCTTCGCTTCAATAGCATCGGTGCGATCAACGCTTACACATTTGGAGATTCACTTTCCGTATGAGGAGGAGCAATATCCCATTGAAGACATTCTTGATACTTTTCAACTTTTGGTATCATTACGATGCTATGGTATCATCAACGACCTCACTGAAATGTCTACGATGGCAACCCATCCTCATTTGAAGGAGCTAAAGCTCTTCCCTGACTTTGAGATCAACTTTGAATCACATCAACTTGACAGCTTGACACGACGACTACCAGCCTTGGAGATATTGTGCGTCCATCGATGTGTGGATTCAAACGCTTTACCAATGATTCAGGACAACTGCCCAAATCTGAAATTCATCATGTACAACGATTTCCTGGACGACGAGCCTCACAAGAAACGGATGAGGACATGCAGCAAAGGCAAGGAGGAACAACGTGGTTTGCGAGTACTCACTATGAACCGGGGATGGGAAGAGGACGAGCTCCATGTGGATACCGTGGACGTGGTGACATCGATGACACGCAACGCACACAGCCTACAATCGATCTATCTTCGCTTTGAATGCATGAGCATCCCTGATGTGATAGATGTTACCTTTGACCACCTGGCCTATTTCACCCATGTGATCTTTTGTCACGATGATCTGACGCTTTCCATGTGGGTCATACGCAACTCACCCCATCTCCAGCACGTTGAGCTGATCAGAAAACAATATCAATATGAAGACGAAGGCACCAACACATATGATGAACCTGACGACCCTGAATTCGACAATCTCGATCAATTGTTTGCCATGCTATCAGGTCTACCCCATTTGGAAGTGGTCATTGTTCAAATCAAAGGAAGCAACGCAGCTGCTGGTATACACCAATTTCTTGAGTATCATACCACCACCACGATCGAATCCAAGTTGAGACATCTTGATACCCCATACGATAACCCGCTGTCAATCGATACATTGGATATGCTGACACGATTACCATGCCTCGAAGACTTGGACATCCAACCACCTATCCAAGGACAAGATGATTCATATTGGTTTGATGCAGTGTGTCAGTTCTTGGAGAAGCTTGCAAAAGGATGCCCGCGTATACGACGCTTATCATTGTACGGCATTACTGGAGACCATTTACCAGCCTTACAACAATTCCCAAACCTGGAAAAGCTATACGTGGAGACGACTCAAATCACCCAAGACAACTTGTCGATCCTTGCAGATTTCCCGAAACTTGTAGATGCTCGCGTGGATATGTCTAAGCATTTGGAAAAATTAGATCCTGAGGTTCAGCAAGTATTGAATAATAGTATATATACATTTACGATCAATTAGATTCATCGCAAAAGATCAATAAACATGCTATGATGAATTGGATGGTTGGATGCTACATAGCTTAAGGATCCCATGTATATGAGTACGCTTTGATGTTTAGCTTGACGCATATGCAAACTACCACGACAAAGGTGTATGCAAGTAAGAGATACGAAGATTCTTTGGCTTCTTTTATGTAAAGAGGCATCAAGGCTCTTTCTACAGCACCATGATTGATAGTCATAGCATGGATGAAGGGTATGAACTTCTATAAGAATGACTCGCGATGATTACATGAAGGCAGCTGAGGTGTACTTGAGTGTGTGTGTGGAAGCCTTTGTAGTCAAACAATGCATGTATGTGGAACAGTAAGCCAAAGAAACATCTTAGATGCTGCGTACCCGTGTTTCATGCAACACAAATTACACGCATATTAACTCTATCTTAGCTTTTTGCCGATGGAGCCATGGGTATATCCATGTTTAGTATGGCTCTTGCTGATAGATTTTCTCCCCCCGCAAATATTGTTGCCTCGTTCATATCTTTGGAACAATTGTAAGCTGCTGCTCCGAATAGTCATTTTATACTTGTGTGTGCGTGTGTATGTGTTTGTGTACAATAAAGGGAACAAGGCTATATAATTTATGGCACGATAAAAAAAAAGATAGGTTGTGCGTGTGTAATGTTAAAGAAATGGGACCTGCTATACAGCGGCAAGAATCATTAAAAGACATGAAAAGAAGTAAATACAAAAAGCAAAAGCAAAAAGAGAAGGAGGGAAAATATTGGGTAGAGTAGTACAAATAGAAGAATATGGGTGATATTGCATGATGGGAACGAATGCAGCAGCAGCGTATTATTACTGCTTGCGTTCAGGAGATTGATATAGCCAATCGGTCACCATACGTGGTGGCTGTTGTTGTTGTTCACGAGCAGCAGCAGCAGCACCATGCGTTGTCGACATGCCAGGTTGTGTAGTGGTTGTATCATCGTGATAGTCGCTTACATCAAACTCGCTTCGTGCATCATGTTGATCTCTCAACCCAACGTTGTGCATGGGATATTCAACTGCACCCGTGGCAGTGGTCGTGTGATACGACATGTCAGTTGTGGGGGTGGGGAACCGAGTCTGTTGGTTTTCGGGTGCTGAGGGGCGTGGTGGTGGGGGTGGATCCACCATTGAAAACACAACCGATTGACTACTATAAGGATCCTCAATCGACATGTTGCGTTGATACACCGAGGTAGCAGCTGCTGCCGATGTAAGAGGTGCAGCTTCTGTTCCCATGGAAGGTGGATAGTCAACATTGACCGGTGACATGGGTCGCATAAAGACGCCGTTGCCATAGCCATCATGTGGTTGCGATGATACGGGAGATGATTGTTGCTGATACTTTTCACTGCCATAGGCACTACCACCGCCATTGATAACGTTGTTGTTTTGAATAAAGTTGGTGATACGTTGGCTTAGTGGACGGCTGTTTTGGGTCAACTCAACATCATTCTTCGATTGGAATTCGGATTCTTGACCCGAGCGAGAAATGGCAGAGTTTTGAGGCGTTGACAAATTACGACGAGGATGGAAAATCGAGATCTACAACAGGAGGAGGATCACGTGTCACTATCAGCCCATCACCATCTTGAATCCCACCACTTACAAAGAGCAACCAAAGCACAATGATACACATGTTAACATTGGCAATGAGTAAATCGCATGCAAACTTGTTGGTATTAATGGTCTTGCCATCGGTCAAGCCATCGGCACACAAGATCACAAAGCATGCGCCATAAATGAACAAGACGCACGTTAAGATGATGTTCATCTCCTTAAAGTACGACAATCGATTGACAATGGCAGTGCTGGTTGAGCTCTTGGTACGCATTGAATAAGCAATAATACGCTTAAATCGAAAGTTGGATCGAATACCCAGGAATGCGGTGATCAATACTATAGTAGCCGCCAGCCCATTAACATTCATCCCATGATCCATCCTCTATTACTTTTTACCTTCACCGCCATAGGCCAGCTGTGGTACAATCTCGCTCATCAGCTCGTCATAGCTCCAACGCCATTGAAGAACCGGAAACATGGCTACGCTACCTAAAGCCCTGCGTGCAGCAAGCGGAAAGATAAAAGCATGTGAGAAATGAAAAATGGTTGGGGTGATGATGATGGTGGTGCCCATTGTCTCTTTGCACACACTTACCAAAGGATATAAAACTTGAATTCAAAGGAACCCATGAAGCTTCTTTTGGCAACGCTATTGGACAAGTAGTTCCAAAAGCATTGCATAAGGAAAAACACGCTTGTGTGAAAAGCAAAGGTGACACATTGGAGATAGTCCATTGGCTACAGGTTACACAATAGGTAAGACAATCAGGGTGTTACGGTTTTTTCACACACATGTGTGAATGGATTGATATCCACGTTGCTTTACCTGTATCGGTTTTTGGTTCTCAGGTGACCAAAACGCATATGGTTTTTGCACGATTGACCCAGTGGGCAGCATCATGAACCCCTCAGTGTACTTGATGTAGGTTGAATAGAAATCTATGAGGGGATCCATCATGGTTGGTGAGTTCCACAAGCACAAACATGCCGTTTTACGATCGATCTTTATTACCAACTACCGCTTGTGTTGTCATCATTATAAACATAATGACCGTAATGATGCTTCGCAGCTCGCCAGCAAAGAATTTGGAAGGTCGCAAACACTTGAACCTGTCATTTTTCCAAATGCTGTAGATCAGGTACGCGGTAATGTATACATCGAGAGTAGAACGCTCTATTGTGACCATGAAGGGGATAGCGCGTAACTATGTTAGCATGCGTACAATGATATCACATGGCAAAAAGAAGGATTGAATGATCAGCAAGAGTACTGTACCTATGTATGAAAAATCACTAGATGGGGCCAATGGTGGGATGGTCAATGTTAATGAAATATTAAAACCGGTTATGTGAGTCCAGGGGTTGTATTCTCATTTTACGGATTGTTGGTGTGATGATAATTCCCGGGATTCTCGGCCATGTTTGATTGTTTCTTTACCTGAGATGGGTCATTAAAGCTGTCTACCCGAAAATAGAGTATGTATAGGTGTTCTTTGTTGGAATTAGATGTATAAAGAATGTGAGAGGCGTCGTCTGAGCGAGAGAGACAAAGAAAAAGAGAGAAAGGAGGAAGGAAGGCGGGAACGAGGGGGTCAGGGCCACATTCTATTTGCAATCAATTGCACAGTGGAGATACTGTGCAACGTAGCTGGGCTTTTCTCAACAATTAACACTTGCTTCTAACGGCAGTACCATTTGGGATGTCCGCACGCGTCAACCTGCCAATTTAGTTCCGCTTAAGTGATAGGTGAAAGTGTGAGAGGGTGATGAATACCGGAGTTTGGGGACCAAAAAAAATAACATATTGGGGATCCAGGGCAACCTCTTGTTCCTTTTTTTCTTTTTCACTCCATCCTTAAACTTACACTTTTTCACTCTCACTCTCTCACTCACTTCTTTCGTTATACGGGAAAATGATGAGACACCTTACATTCGTTTTTACGTCATTGCTTATGATGGTGGTGGCAGTAACAGCTTCTACTGAATTGGAACAAATGCATCGCCTTTTCAAACGCGAAGACAAGTTGCCATACGACACTCTTCCCAACACCAACTGCCACACCCCTTCCGTTTGCAGCAATATCAATCAACCTGTCAGCTGCCGTTGCGATGACATTGTCACCGTCTGCCACAATCAAAACGGCCAATTCTGCTGGGGCTCCCAGAAATTGAACCAAACCACCAATTGCCCTTCGATTCCTGATTCTTGCAGCTCTCAATTCAACGGCACTGCCTCATGTCTTTGCAATGGCGACAGCGTTTTGTGCGTTGACGGCTATAATCATTACTGCTACGGTACCTATAGTGGTGACGCTGCAAGTGCCTCGGTATCCTTGCAACCTATCCCAGAACAATCAGCCTCCGCCACGTCGTCCTCGGATTCGAGCGAGTCTTCTAATTCTGGTGAATCGGCAGCTGTGTCCCTGACATCCATGAATACCACTTTGCTTGCTGCTATTATGGGTTTCTTGGCTTTCTTTTCATTGTAAAATTATCAATCAACACCACCCCCACCCACCCCCGACTCCTCCTACAACACACGAAAAGGAAATCTCTTTGCCCCATCATCATCACCACCATCATCACCCCCCCCCTTGTTCCTTATCCTTCTCTTTTTTTTTACCTTTGGGAACTCTTTATTCATTGATAAACATTACACAACATACACACATTTTCATTCTTCTTGATTGGATCTTTGTTTTTGGCATTTCTCTATAGACTCATCTTTCTTTTGCATACACAATGAAGATATATCGGGGTACTTTTTTAATCGCAAGACTCGGTCTCCGATGTTACACGTTACCAAAACTTGGCCATTATGGCATTTGATTTGTGTTACTGTGAGCGAATGAAAAGGTGCTGTGTCACACAAAGTGAAAGCAATTAAACTCAATAATTACTGAGGAACGCATTGATCACTCTTTAAAATCTTCGAGGTTTGTACATATAGCACAAGGGTGTGGGCTTATTCGGTTCCGGTACGGGTCCTTTAAGGGGCTAAAAAGGGATGGTTGAGTCTCATGCATGATAAATCACCTTAATCCGACATACATCATCTGATGATGTCGTCGTCGGCAAAATCTTCTTTTTTCAGTTAGGTAGATCGGCAACAACCAGCATTGTGGATGAATCTCATAATACAGAAATGTGAGTACAGAAATAAAAAGATCGCTCCACCACGCATAGCAGCAGCAATTGAGCCGCGTTTATGTAAATGAACAAGTTAATTGAGATACAGTCATCTTGTGTATGGGGTGTACTATTATGCATATGAACCTGGCAAATGATGATGCTTCAGGATAAACATAGGGAGGAGAAAGGATTCATCAAAAAAGGGAATACCTAAAGTGCTGCGAGATGGGTGGGACAATGATGATGCATTAAACAATACAAGGAGATGTTTAGCATTGTTACGCTACGAATTAGTATGAGGACAACATCTATTGTGTCAATGTTTATGGAGATAAGCATATAATGATACACTTTATTCTACTTGTTATTAAGCATGTTGGGGGCGTGAAAGGCGTCCAATGGCAAAGACGAGAATACTGAATGCACAAAGGATGGCATTGCATCGAAACATCCAAAGGGAGCCGAGATAGCTATCGAGGTAACCACCCAAGAGCGCACCTAAGCCATTGCCAAGGCCAAGATGCAACGAACCAAGAACACCTTGAGCAACAGCACGTTGCTCTGGAGGGAAAAAGCTATCGACTTCGCTGACAGCCGTGCTCCAAAAGATGGCAAAACCGAATCCATGCATGGTCTGCAAACAAATCGCAATCACAAAGCTTACAAACGAGTCCGGCACCAACCACGTGTAGGCAAGACAACGCGCAATGGTTACAACATGAGCAAACACCACCAATTTCGTCACGCTAAAACGCTCAGACAGCTATATCAAACATACATCAGCCATCTTTCTTGTTGCAATGATGAAAAGTGATGATTTTCCTTACTTGTTTGGAAAAGTAAAAACACAACAGCTCTGTAGAACCACCCACAGGACCAGTCCACCCGATCCAGCTTGCCGGCATATGGAGATGATTGTTGAGGAACAAAAAGAGGTAATTGATAACAATGGATAGCACGATACCAAACAACAAGGTGGTGCTCAAAAATGTCAAAACGCGAGGTGATCGAAACGAGGCGCCATCTGGTACTTGTACTGAATCCGATTCTTCTCCTGTAGCAGCTGGTAGCAATACGGAGGCATGCTCCACCGATAAGACACGTGATACTGCCAAGCCCAAATTTGTTTCCAATGCATCATTTGCTTCTTCTCTTAAGGTACGTGCACGCGATACAATGGAGGAGGTTAACTTTAGTTGGTTGGCTGCGGCCCCAATCCATGCTTCATCTTCCTTGCCATCATAGTTGTATTGTGTCGATGATGCTACCTGGTGCAAAAGCCTTGTGCGTTCATCATTCCCTGCTGAAGGATCCATGTAATCGTTGTGCTGATGTTGTACACTGCTCTCATCATCCAAGTAGTCAAATGTTGCAGGAGAAGGGATGCGTGTCATAAAAGCGAACACCATGAAACACAAGGTCGAGCCACCGCATACCCAAAACATCATGTCCAAATTGTTAGTGATTGACATTAATACACCCACAAGAAGAATAGTCAATCCAGCAGATACGGATCCCCATAATCGTTGCTCCCCTATTATAAATCATGTGACGTGTCAGATAAAAAGATACAACAAACGTGTGTATGTGTGTGTGAGCACTTGCCATAAAGGATCTTGTTAGGGCCAAGGATTTTCATGACTGCACTGTCAACAAGAGCCACATTTGGTAACGCGAAAAAGGCAAATGCCAGGGATAGAGCACATGTTGCCATGACAACCGATCCATTACTGTCACCAGCATCACCACTACCATGGGAGGAGGAGGAGGAAAACGTCGATAGAGTAGCATCATACATGGCTTGTACATAATGACCAATGCCCATGATACACATCACCGAGAGGCAACCGATACAGCCTGTGATTGCCATGGTAACGCCATGAAGATTTGGACGTTTGTCTACAACATAGGCCCATATAGGACATGCAATGGATTGAACAAAAGGGGCTATGGCTATGGTAAAGCCGATCTGGTCGGATGAAAATCGAAGCACATTATGATAATACAATGCAAAGTAGGGTGGGCATGCCGTTAGCAAACCAAAGACGGTAATGTAAAGTAATTTACAAAGAAGGTACATGAAATGATGTGTGAATGAGAAAAAAGAGAAATGACAATGGAATCATGGGCGAAAAAAGTGGTGGATGGATGTTTTTATATATCCAAGAATGACTTTTCCCGCTTATTTGCTGCACACAACATGCATGTTGGGCAACCCTCGGTATAGGTCCTTGCATCGGCCGAGTCAGTGCTGCTGATCATTGATTGTTTCAAGGGTTGGTCAGAAAAAAATAGATGCATACCACACACGCAAGCGGCGGGTACACCGTATTTGCGGGGTCAAAATGGAGTAACAACTCTTATCGCTCGGCACACTGCAAACTTTGTTTTCGGTTTCTCTCTTTTGTAGTTCGAGCAATTTATCCATTTTAGTTTCTGACATCTTATATATGGATTTGGGGATGAAAGGGTACGCTATGCGTTGTTGTTGTTGTGTGGGTGTATATATGTGTGTGTCGAGAGAAATGATTTATCTTACAGCATACTGAGGAAAGGGGGTTGGGTAGCGGATCGAGATGGGGGTAGTCAAGCCTTAAGGTAACCAAGCTCGGTGAAGGTTTGCTTGAAGGAGTCAATCACCTTTTGGATATGACCACGCTCATCTTCCATGACAGAGATACCCATGTGGCTACATTAAAAAAGGATGTCAGAGTCAATATCCCTATTACTTTTTCTTTCTCCCCCCAAATCGACACACATCACGTGGTGCCTATGCTTGACATGACGCGTGTGTGTGTGTGTGTGATAATCCGAATAGTCAACTTACCCAATTCTGATGTACTTGGGAGCACAGTCCTTGTGAAGACCACCAGCGATTTGGACACCCTTGCCAGCAAGGCTGGGAACAACTTGGGGAATAGTGATACCTTCAGGGAGCCAAATGGCGGTCATACCATTGGCAGCACCCTCCTCAGTGTGAGCCAACAACTTGAAACCCAAGTCTTGAACGGTCTTGCGGAAGTTGGAAGCAACTTGTTGGTGCTTAGCAAAGGTAGCCTCCATGGGTTGGCTGGTGATGCGCTTAAGCGAAGAGTGAAGAGCATAGATAAGTTGAACAGCGGGAGTGGCAAAGTAAGCAGGCTTGCGGGATTCGTAGGCTTGCATGACTATTTTGGAAACATGTGTCAATCATCATGCGATACACACACACACACAATTCCCACCCCTCTCCCTCACTCTAAATGCTCAAACTCATTTTTCCTTTTCTCTCTCCCTTCTCTTGAATCATCATGCTACTTACTAGGGATCCACTTGTTCCAGTTGGAGTAGTAGGAAGGAACGGGGGTCTTGCGGCTCTTGAAGACTTCAATAGCGTGGGGGCTGGCAATGACAATAGACAAACCAGGGGGAACACCAAGACCCTTTTGGGAACCAGTGATAACAACATCCAAGTTCCATTCATCGAAACGGATCTCCTCAGAGCCAACAGAGCAAACACCATCAACAACAACCAAAGTCTCAGGGGAGTTGGCCTTGACGATCTCAGCTACGCTCTTGATATCGGAAAGGACACCAGTGCTAAATGAAAAACATGCATGTGTCAGAGATTTGTAATAGATTATCTCATTCCTTTTGAGTCACTACTTACGAGGTATCAACGTGGGTAACAGTGACCATCTTGTACTTCTTGCCAGCAACGGCTTGCTTGATCTCATCAGCGGAAGGACGACCACCAACGGGGGCACGCAAGTGAGTGATCTTGGCACCATAGACTTCCAAGCTAAAACAAAATTACAATGACCGATTAGCCCACATGCATGCATGTATACTTTCATGTGTGTGCTGATGAATCATCATCACAGCCTCCGCCACCCACAAAACGTACCATTCAGCAAAGTGGTCACCAAAGTAACCAGTGTTGATAACAAGGACTTCATCACCAGCTTCGATCAAGTTGACCATCATGTCCCAACCCAAAGTGCCGGAACCGGAGACAATGAAGGGTTGAGCCTTCTCAGAGAGAACGACCTTACGGACCATCTCGATGGATTCACCAAAGACGGGGATGAAGTTGGGATCAACGTGGGAGGTGGCAGGAGTGCCCATGGCAGCGAGAACATCTTCGTGGAACTCGATAGGGCCTGAAACAAGGAGTTGATGTATATGAGTGAACCAATTGCTGCTGTCAAACACCCTCTTTTGGTTGCTCAACCGGATCCAGAGAGCCTACTTACCAGGAATCATGCAAAGTTTGTGAGGAGCCATTGTTTTAGTTGGGATAGTGAGGATGCCGTAAAGAATAAAGACAACAAAGGAGACAAAGGTGAAGAACAGCAAAAAAGGCGAGAGTTGGCAAAACGAGCTTGCGTATTTACGTCCAATCATGTTGGTGACGCGTTTCTCCCGAAAGACCAGACATTCAAAGGTACTTCCGTCAAGGCGGCTTTTTTTCTAACCGACAAACAAAATATACCTCATTAGACTCCGCAATCACACATTCACCCCGCACTCTGTTCAGCCCTTGACAACCAACCATATTCAAGAATACGTACATTTTTCCCCAATCCAATCTACTTAGCGTGCGAAAACAATGGACGTCCTCTGGTTCCTTTTCTTTTTCCATCACCAATAGCCCGTGGTTTGTTTATAGCAATGCTGTGTAATGCTTGGTTTGTCAAAAGGTTGAATGGCAACGATTCATTGTACTACCACCGTTATTATTCATCATCGAAGGATCAACACATTCCCTTTCCACATACCCACACACATACCTCATTGTCCCAAAATCTGATCCAATCACATACTGGGTGAATCCCATACATTCATTCGAAACCCTCTATTACAAATACTTGTTTCAGCATGGCTAGGGAGCAGCAATTCATAGCGAATGGGAGATCATCTACCTTGGTTGCCTGCTATGGATATGAACCGCGGCACAGTAGATCTTGGGCTCATCCTTTTCTTGTTTCGATCCGGTGCAATGTAGTGCATGGTATATTTTCCCCTGTGAACAAGATTCATGCAGCCGAAGTACAGTATGATTGTATATCCGAACCCTGTTTTATACGTACTTTTGCATAATGTCGTTTTCGTTCTCTATCTCTTTCGATTCTCTATCACATCGGATATACAAGTAGTATTCCACCGCACAGGCATCATCATCATGTCATCCTCCCCACCCTCCATCCGAATGATGTTGCGAGCTGCTTTGCCGTATTGGTCTTTTTCTCACGCATATCCAATTCCAGGTCTTTTTTTCCAATGAATGATGTCAATCGATCTTTATTGCGTGCTTGACACATATTGCCTGATAAATATATATATACATGGGACAGCTGCTGCCTAGCAAGTGAGTGAGACGACTCGATCATGTGATTGATATCCCCCTATCGAGTGTTGTCCTTGCAATGGATGTATCATTCGATCCACGAGTGTCGCTATATCAACCTGATCCAGTAAAGCAGTAACTCGAACATATGGAGCGTGGTGATACTGAACGCGTTGTGGGTCATAAAAGTGCGAGCTTGGTGTATTGAAATGCAAGTCGTTGTCGCGCATTGCCACCACTGCTGTACACAACGACACGTTCGATTGGGCGAATGACGATTGCTGTGAGCTTGGTTCCTGATAGTTGGGGATGTACGTGTGTCGCCAAAAGAAGCGTGTGTTGTGAAGCAGTCATCCATAAGCTGAATAGCTCCATCGCGATCGCCCAAAAGTCAAAGTCACTCGTATCAATGCCAAACGAAGTTCATCATGGCCATGTGAGGCTGCTCAATCGCACGATAGTGGTCAACGTAATGTGAATGAGAGAACTTTATCATAGAGAACATGTTGAAGAGAGGGAGAATGAAAAAGTCGGGAGAAACGATACCATTGATTCCCAGCGCTCTTATTCTTTATTATGTGATCCGCTGCTATATGATTCTACTAGTAGTGAGCTCAATAGAGCTGATAACATCTGTATCATAAAAAGATGAATGTTTCAGCGAGATGCATCTGTGTCCAAGGAAAACCAAGAAGTGAGCAGTACAGCCAATCAACACGTTCACTGGGATGACACACACACATCACAAGGCTACACTCAAGCACGCAATCTGCCCACAAAGTAGCACCAACATTTGGATTGGCATCACACGTGTGTAATAATCCCAAGATGCTTATCGACCACAACATCCACTTTTCGACAAAGGAACGAAGAAGCTGATGACTATGATATGGATTTGATGTTTCAAGGGAAATGCTTTATGTAAATGATGATGATGTTGTTGTAGTGTTGTAGAGAGATGGACATGTTTTAATAAACATTGCATGATAAGCTCACACGCACGTACAACTTGCATGAAATTAGGCTGGTTTCATTTTACTGCGTTACGCAAATGAATGATCACGGTCTGCAAGACGATGGCGCAATTGTTCGAATACCCAATAAAATTCAAAAAGCGCACCAACAACAAGGTCTGTGACCCCAATAAATACAGCAAGACGCGACAGCGGAACGAAAAGACACCTCTTTTTCTTCTTTTATTCTACTCACAAACATGACTCTTCGTCTCGGTTCTATTGCTCCTGGTAAGTTGCTTGCTTTCATGTTGGCTATCAAGGGTGTATGGTACATAGACACGTATGTGGATGTGCGTGCGCGTGTACGTGTACCTCCCCCACCCCCTTTGGCTGAGCGGAGGACAATAGTAAGGTTTGCTTACCGGCATAAACTGACAAGGGGTGATTTTTACATGCTATAGACTTTGAAGCCAAAACCACCAAGGGTGATATCAAGTTCCATGACTTTATCGGTGACAAGTGGGCTATCTTGTTCTCCCATCCTGCTGATTTCAGTAAGTTGATGATGATGATGTCAATGTGACCTAAGAAGCTGGGCTGTATTTACTTATGCAAACAACAACAACAATGATAGCCCCCGTTTGCACTACCGAGTTGGGTCTTGTCGCTGCTCTTCAAGATGAATTTGACAAGCGCAACGTCAAGGTGATCGGATTGTCTGCCAACGACCTTGATTCGCATGAAAAGTGGATCAATGATATCAATGAAATCAGCAATGTCGACCTCCAATTCCCTATCATTGCTGATGCTGATCGCAAGGTCTCTGAGCTTTATGACATGTTGGATCATCAGGTAAGGAAACGCATACAGAGGGAAGCATAAAGTGTATACTCATCATCTTCTTTTAGGATGCTACCAACATTGATGCTAAGGGTGTCCCATTCACCGTACGCTCCGTCTTTATTGTGGATCCCAAAAAGACCATCCGCTTGATCCTCACCTACCCTGCTTCCACTGGCCGTAACTTTGATGAAATCTTGCGTGTCATTGACTCTTTGCAACTTGGTGACAAGCACCGCATCACTACTCCTGGTAACTGGAAGAAGGGCGATGATGTTATTGTTCACCCAAGCGTGTCCACCGAAGAAGCTCAAAAGCTCTTCCCCAAGGGTGTCAAGGTCGTGCGTCCTTATCTCCGCCTTACTCCCTCTCCTTTCTAAAAAAGCTTATCCTTTCTCAATTGCACATATATTCTCACATACTTTGCTTAGCTATATCAACACCCCCATTTATTCCATTGCTTGAATGACAAATAATACGTGGTTCTATCAGAGATACTTTTTGGATGCGTGTGTGTGTGCGTGTGTAACCATCAAGGAGCGGTTGGGTCTGTAAATGGGTAGTGTACCACAAAATGTGCACCTCTTGTTGCTTTCTTTTATTTCCCTCTTTTCCTGAACATCTTATTCGACCTTTCTCTTTCACAACATGGACATTGGACAACTCGACAATCCTTTCAAATCCAAGAAAAAGCATGATGCAAAGGCGTCACCCAACCCATACCAAATTGGAGACTATGAAGACGAACAGCCATCATCTACTACTACCATCCGAGCCGAAGAAAAAAAGAGCACCAAGATTGTCAACAAAGTCAAAGATGAGATTCACAAGGCCAAGACCAAAGCTCATAGCTACCATCATCACCATAACGAACCAACAAAGGAGAAGGAGGAGGACGACGAATAGCGTAAATGTATACACACACAGAGAGAGAGAAAAGCTTTGTTATTGTGTTTGGGATAATAAATCAAGGTACAGCTACTGCATACTCTCTCTAATTGACCTTCTTGGACTTTTTGCCTGAGGACGAGGAGGAAGAGGAGGTTGACTTGTCAGTGGTGGTCTCCTTCTTTTCAATGACTTGCTTGTTGGATCCTCCTTTGACAAGAGCAATGATCAATGCTAACACACATGCACCAGCCAAGCCAAGATAGGTGGGGTTCTCCAATGCCCTATTCAAAAGTGGTCAGGTGGTCGGTTGTGGGATTAACATGGCAAAAGCAGCTGAGTTGAGAACTTACTTGGAAATAGTATCTGCGATTCCCTTGTCTTGTGTAATAGCAGGCTTCTTTTGCATACCAGGACCTTGCTTGATGTCAACCAATTCAACTTCAAATACCAAAGTAGCACCACCAGGGATAGCACTGCCAGCACCTTGAGCACCATAACCTTGATTGAGAAATACTCACAGTTAGACGATGCATGATAAAAAAAGCATCACTTCCTTCTTACCAAGAGCAGGTGGAATCACCAAACGACGCTTCTCACCAATGCACATGCTACACATACATAAATCAATGCCCATGTCTTTGGCATTGACACTATGACAACTTACTTTTTCAAACCCTGATCCCAACCCTTGATAACTTGTCCCACACCCAAAGTGAACTGCAATGGCTGGTTGCGATCGAGGCTGCTATCGAACTTTTCACCAGTATCAAAGAGAGTACCCGTGTAGTGCATTGACAACTTGTCTCTACCCTTGTGTATGAGATACGACCATCAACAAGCAAGCCGAGTCCATTGCTTCTTACCCATCGCGCGAACGGATTTTACATTCCTCGGCAGGTACGCGTTTCTTGACACCTAAGTTTCATGGTGAATGACGAAGCTAACAACAAAACGTTCATTATATCGTAAGCTTACCGATTTGAAGATCCTTGGGAGGTTCCTTCAGGCCATAGACCAGAGCAATGAGTTGAAAGACGAATGCAAGTACGAAAAGACGCATGTCAACGTGTTGTAACGAGAGAAAGAGACGTGTGATTGAACGATTGGATCCGCCGGCATGAAATCTATCTCGTAGCTTTCCCCCGACGTCACCATGCCCTAAAAGCTGCCCGTTTTCAAATAAACGTCCCACACCAGGGAGTAAATCAAAATCTTGAGCTCTTAGCAGAATTTCCTTCACTTTGGAAGAGAATTTATTATAATCCTAGTAGCGTGCTTATTAGTAGGATTCATAGTACATTATGCATGCTCCTTATCACCTATGCAACTCGAGTATGACCTTTTTTTGTCAAAAAGACACCCGTTGTTGGATTGCTTCAATAGGTCCTGTGTGCTTGAGATGACGATGTTCGATTTGGTGAGCACTACTCTGCAAGAGCAAAATGTTGATCCCTCTAATAAAGATCAACGTGTTGATTTTTGACACCAATCTTGACACAACATAGAGAATATAAACGCCATCATCATGATGGATACCTGCATTAATGCATAGATAAAGCAATCGTATCACAGCTATGTACGTAAATGTCCACAACAAAAATGTTCTTTATTTCATACATTACACGTGACAAGGGAATGTAGAATATAAGAAATGACCAACATGTTGGTTTAGCAGGCGTCCAATTTGTCAAGGTTTCTTTTAACTGCGTATTCGTTGGGACCAACATAGTAATCAATCTTCTGACCATTGTGGAAGAAGTAAAAAGTAGGAATCGCTGTAACTCCCTCGGATGTAGCAAAATCCTGCATTTACACTCATATGGTCAATACAAGCTCAGTCCCATCTCTCATGGTAAGCTACTTACCGGATGATCATCGGTATCGACGTGCAGAAAAGTAATGCCAGGGTACTCTTCAGAATACTTTTTGAATTTCGCGTACATATATCTGCAGATAGCTAAAAAAGATGTATGTTAAAAGAGAACAGCTGTTGTTAAGGAAGCGTTAAGCATGCTCTCCTATCAACCTACAAGACCATGCAGGAGCCCCAAAGTCAACGGCAACCTAAAGTTAAAATACAAATACCATGAGCAAGATGATGATACACGTTCCTGAAATTAAGGGAGGCGTGAATGGACAAAGCTGCTCATACCTTCGCTTTCGAGTTGATAATTTGCTTATATTCAGCACGACTCTTGATTTCGCGTATCGGCATGTTGTTGAAAAGATAAATGCGTAAAGAATATCCCATTGACGTTTATCTTAACGAGTCTTTTATATACTACACCTGGAACAGAATAATGTAAACCTTATAAGCGTGTAACACACACATGCCTGCAGTCCTTGTATTGTGGCACCACCACTGCTTAATCTACTCTTTTACTTTTAAGCTTGAAACTACTGTACCTCTGATTGATAGTCGACCCAAGTGAACGGGTCTTCACAATTCAAAGTAATAATATTAGCACGACTGCAATTCAAATGAGGCGTTGGTTAGCAGACGTAACCGGCTGTTACTTATAAAAGGGAACGAGGAGTTACATTGGTTTCGGAAAGTCGTTCGTGTTTGGCGTTGCTCTTTTCCTTTGTTTGCTATGATCAAGCGAGATGAGAAGATTATGATTGCTATATGCAAAATGGTCCCGGTTGTTTGTGTCAAGGAAATCAATTATACTAAAAGCTTGAAACACGGTCGAGTAAGGAAGGCTGGGTAACGATCACGAGAGCAATGATTGCGTTTATTATATACATGATGATGCTGTATGTCAGGGTGAGCATGTGTAATAGAGGCCACTGTTATCCTACTTCCATTCCCCGTTGTGGTTGTCACTGTGTCAATGGGGCTCTTTTATTATTAAGGTAAAAAGCTAATCATCTATCCTTCCATCAAAGAACCTTTGTTGATCACGAAAGTTCGAATAGGTAATACTCCTTGGCAAAGATCATGATCGCCATCCATCCAGGCCCCGGAAGCATCATGACTATTCGTGCGACCACGTAGTAGCATACGATGAAACAAAAGAAAGACACAAGGAATAATCACTCATACCATTAGGAATAAGATTCAACATCATGCAGACAACAATCAACACAGGAGAGCAGTAAGGCCTTGAAGAACAACTACCGCTACATGAGCATTCTCGATGATCCATTGATTCACCCAAAACTTCTCTTGACATACCAAAATGTGGGCTTGGAATGGCATAATCAAAGAAGTGATAAAAGTAGACGAAAGAGATATGTGATAACGTTGGTGATAACATCCTGCTAGTATGTGCATGGGCGCGTGGATCGTTGACTTGCCAAAGAGTGCGTGAGCTGATAAAGTGGTCGACCTCCTCAAGGGATCAGAAAACACCAGGTCCTGGATATCCCATATGACTGCAACGAACGCCTTCTTGTATGCACCATGTTGATGTATCCAAGCATAATCGATCCATCCATATCCTGCACGCTGTCGTGCCTTTTTTGGTCAAAACGCCCGATTCAACAGTGTCCCATTGCCATGAGCCCTTCACAGATTTGACACCACTATGAGCCGTGGATCACGCATGTTGCCAATAGAGGTACCATCTTCTCTTCAAGGCGAGTAAAGCATAAATCATACAATGATGGAGCCGATACTTGGATGCACATCAAGTTCAAGTAGCACCGTGAATCGCGCCGATTTCCACCAACACAACATGGTCGTCTCCTGTAGACAACACGGTACAATGACACCCTTGACATGCTGTCGTGATAGTATTGATAGCCGAGCGAGAGCCTGTCAATCGATTTCTTTTATAAGTCCAATTTGAAGATCACCACCCAGGATACCACTTTACCTTGGGACATTCTCAATTGCATTCTTGCTTTCAATAACCGTATCTCCATTCCATTCATCCATACTTGCTGCTGCTATTTCACTGTAATGGCCGTTAATTAATAGTCTTGCTTTATAGGTTCAATACCATGCATACCATTGAGCCAACGTACAGCGTTCTTGCTTTGGTATCAATATCTTGTTGCTGCCACAGGTATCATCATCAGACATGCCCAAGCTACAGTAAATGCAATGTAAGATGTCAACCGTAACATTTGCCTTCTTTGTCAACATACTCAAAGTAACTATGTGTTGGGGACCCCTCCTCGATGGTATCCATAGAAAGCATTCACGCGACACACGACGGGCCCCTTGATCCTTGTTTGAACGAGAGAACGACAGGACTACACGTAAACTTTAGTACCATAACGTCCACTTGAATAATAAAGTATTGCAGCGATTGAACGTACATGTTGTGTTGGAATGGAAGGTTGGGTCAAGGGTAGATCGCGCGCGTACTTGGTTGCCTTGGAAAGTGTCGCCATTGGTCACCTGTACATCATCGACACTGTGCTTTGAAGGCAACAATGGCAGCAGTTAATGCTCTGTACTTTGTCAATGGAGACAAGCTTACCTTGCTTTGTGAAGCGGGAGAGGAGAAGAAGTGGCTCTTTGTCTTTCCTTTCGTTGTTTTGTATTTGTGCACTCCACGCCACCCCGCTTGCTATAGCTACCACTGTGAATACGCACCGAAACAAACATCCTATACATTTGGGTGAAGAGTAATAGACCACTGCTCGAAATGTCAATTAAACATAGCCCTCGTAACTAAACTATACATGATCTTACCGTGTCCAGGAGGTGGCGTCATTTAGGCCCGTGCGGCATTACTATCAAGCCAATTGTTTTTTATGCAGCTCAACCCACCGTGAATTTATTATGTATAAGCACCCATCCCTGATATATGCGTGTTCCTATAAACCAGTTACTTTGATACATCTTCATTATTGGACGTTGTTTACTTACGTACCTTCACAAAAGGCAATCATCATCATCATCCATTTGTGCAGCAAACCTGTCAAGGACATATTTGTGTAACCACTACGTGCCATTTCGCTCAGCTCTTCATCTTTCCGTTCATGCAATCGACATCATCCACCAGGAGAAAGCAACTCCACCAAGCTTACAGCATATGCAAAACATAAAGATGCCTGTATCTCCAAACTTTACAATGAAACGTGGGGTTTTTATTACAGCAGTGTGCTCGGCTTGGCCAACTGCACCTTGGGTGCAAGTTTCATGATCAAGTTTGCCAATCTCAGATTTCGCAATGTCGCCACCAGCCAAACTGGATCCAGGGGTCGACCTCTTGAATTTTTTTCGACGACGATCAAAAAAATATTTTTTGGGCTAGTTGCGGCATTGAACGTGAAACTTGCACACAAGGTGCTGTTGGCCAAGCCGAGCACATTGCGCTATTAAAGACCCCATGTTTCATTGTAGGATCTTGAGATATGGGCGTCTTTATGTTTTCACTATGCTGTAAGCGTGATGCTATATGAAGAGCGGTTTTTGTTCATTGTCAAGTCGCTGGACCCTGGCAGAGCAAAAGACGCAGAGGGACCTCTTTGTGTAACTCAGCTACTTTGCATGACTAGAAGGATGGAAGGATGATACTGTATACTATTGACAATATCCCATACATTGCGAGCTAACAGCCATTTCCTCACAATCGGCAATGTTGCCCATTCTATGACAGTGGAACGATGCTCCTGCTTCAGACATTCATTTCCATGATTGGATTATGTTGATCCGAGTTGATTTGGCTGAGCTACGCTCATACAAGGTTACTTCAGTTGAGCAACATAGAGCATGGTTAGATGTGTGGATTGATGTAATCCGTCTTTGGCTGTATCTCGGTCAAATCAACTCGGATCAACATAATCCAATCATGGAAATGAATGTCTGAAGCAGGAGCATCGCTCACATGTCATAGAGTGGACAATAGTGGCTATTGTGAAGAAATGGCTGATAGCTCGCAATGTACGGGCTTTTGTCAACAGTATATAGTATCATCCTTCCATCCTTCCAGTCATGCAAAGTAGCTGAGTTACACAAAGAGGTCCCTCTGCATCTTTTGCTCTGCCAGGGTCCAGCGACTTGACATTGAACGAAGACCACTTCCCATATAGCATCATGCTTACAAGCATAAAGGTGCCTGTATCTCCAAACTTTACAATGAAACATGGGGTTTTTATTAGAGCAATGTGCTCGGCTTGGCCAACTGCACCTTGTGTGAAAGTTTCGCGTTCAATGTCGCAAACAGCCCAAAAAATATTCTTTGGTCGTCGTCGTCGAAGAGGTCGACCCCCGGATCCAGTTTGGCTGGTGGCGACATTGCGAAATCTGGATTGGCAAGCTTGATCGTGAAACTGGCACCCAAGGTGCAGTTGGCCAAGTCGAGCACATTGCTCTAATAAAAACCCCATGTTTCATTGTAAAGTTTGGAGATACAGGCACCTTTATGCTTGTAAGCATGATGCTATATGGGAAGTGGTCTTTGTTTAATGTAAAGTAGTATGACTATAATAGAGCAAAAGATGCAGAGGGTGTGTCTGTGTAACTTGAGTCATTCAGCACAGTCGATGCATGATTCTTGTACACTATTTAGGTATAGTTCAAAATGCCAGCTAATAACCTAGTCCTCCCACTCTCCATTGTAGCCCAATCCAATGCATACGAACGATTGTCCTGCTCCAGCCCAGCATGCCCATCAGTCAACTTTCTTGATCCGATGAGATTTGACTGAAAAACGCTCAAACACAGAAGTTTCGCCCAATATGAGAAAAATCATTTTGCAAAGTTATTTGTAAACTGCCACTTGATAGCCCATTCCTCCCATTCACCTAAATTGCCCAAACCAATGCATACATACGATTGCCCTACTCCAGCTCATCATCTCCACCATGGAACTTTCGTGATTCGAGGTGACATGGTAGTATGGCAACAATGGGTGTTGTTGGATCATCATCATTATCATGCAAGGTGTAAAATGACACACACCCTTTTGCTATACGTGAGGATCATTTCTTTTATTTACGCGTGCCTATTGTCTATCGTGAGGATGCTGATGATGATGGGTGAGTTGTGTGTTTGGGTGGATGGTGTGTATAGGGTAATTGAGTGGCCTCAGTGTAATAGCAGTAGGGGATTTAAACTTGGGGACGGTAGCTCCACGACTTGAGACAACGCTTGTCTTCTCTTCTTCCCTTATCTGCTTTTATCCCATTCACGACATCCCGATCAAGGTAATGTACTGTAAAAGAGTGCCTCTTGTTGGTTGTGACGTATTGAATGAACATGCATTGTCAGGGAGTGAGTGTGCCCAAGTGCTGAGGAATGAGGGTGGTTGC